ACATCTGGCATGAGGGAGCCGGAAATATAAAAGCTTCTGACTTCACATCAATTGTCATTCACCAGATTGAAAAGTATGTAACAGAAGAAACAAAAGAAGTTATTTTTTTTTCTGATGGCTGCAATTACCAAAACAGGAATTCAACTTTGAGTAGTGCTTTATCCAATTTTGCAGCAGCAAAGAATATTCAAATTTACCAAAACTATTTGGAAAAAGGACATACTCAAATGGAGTGCGACTCGATGCACGCCTGCATCGAGCGTCAGCTGAAAAATAGGGACATTTATGTACCTGGCTGTTATGTTCAAATTTGTAAAAATGCAAAATTACAGCATCCTTATGATGTTCATTACCTAGATCATCTTTTCTTTAAAGATTATTCCCAGATTGAAACATATCCCTCAATTCGTCCAGGTAAGAAAAAAGGTGATCCTACAGTCACAAATTTAAGGTGTCTAGCATATCGTCCGAATGGTCTTATAGAGTACAAATTGTATTACGAAGATGACTGGAAACTACTACCGCAACGACCCAACAAAGAAAAAGCAAATAATGCTCCGCCATTATCATATCCTACTGCACCAAAAATAACACTTTCTAAATTTAATGATTTGCAGGATATGAAAAACTTTATTCCTAAAGATTTTCGGCATTTTTATGAGTCTCTTGCTCATGAGTAAATAGAGGATATTAGCCAGTTATAAATTATCACAATTTTTATTTTTTATTTTTTTTTATTCTTATGGACAGAATTTAATTTAATAGTGAATATTAGCAAGTTTTATAAACTACGGCTATTTTGGTTTTGATTTTTTTACTTTTTAAGTATAAAGATTGGTTGTCACTACTCGTTTTTAAGAATATTTTATAAGTTTTATACCATAGGTGATGTAATGTAATAAATTAACTAAAAATAATTTAATTTATTGCTTTTTTTTTAACCTCGGAAGTGGTTCTTTTGAGACAAAACCTCGTAAGTTTACTGACAGTTTAAGATTTTAAGTTGCAAAACCTCGTAAGTGGCTTTTTGACAAAAAAAAACAATGTTACTAAATTTTACTTAAGAGTAATGTAATCGTTACCTCAAAAGAACCCTACACTCAAAAAACGAGAAAACTGAATGTTAAGTCAAGAAGCCAAAACGTTTTTCGTCTCTCCTGTAAAGTTACATAAAACTGACTTACGAGGTTTTGCAGTTTAACCGTCGGTATATTGTAATTGTAATAATGTATAGGGGAAAGTGGGGGAACCGTGCGCGGTGGGGAACGGTGCGCACCATTAAAATTCAAATTACGCGGCATACTGAGAGTCCCCTCCCGAACAGGCTTAAGCGGGAACATGCACAGAGTCTCTGAAGCCATTAACTGCCACTGCAGTTGAGTTGTGTACTTAGTGAAAGGCGAAAGTGTGCATTTGAGGTTTTTGTTACTATTTTCCACTTGCACAAATTAAGACGGTGAGTCCGTAAATCTTAACTACTTGTTTTGAAATAATTATATTCTTAAAGAATATCATCTGCTGCATATATGCACACCATTTGGTTGCATTTAGATAAGTAATTTTTGTAGGATGATGTAATTACGTTTTTAAACCATAGTGGGGTAACCGTGCGCGAAAATGCGCACGGTTACCCACTAATCAATTAAATATGAAGCAATATTGTTATCGTTTTTGGGTACTAAAATCCGTCTTTTATTTTCAGATGCCACGAAATTACGTTCGAAAGACTGAAATCCATCAATATAGTGATGAATTGCTGGAGACTGCACTGAATGCAATTAGAAACGATGGGAGGAAAATACGAGAAGTTGGGAGGTCTTTTGGTATTCCTGAATCAACACTCAGAAAAAAGCTTTCTCTAAATCAACTAAAAATCCCCCATCTCGGTAGAAAGGCGATTTTTACAGCAGAAGTGGAAGCTGAATTAACCCACTATATTCTGACACTCGCAAAATTGTTTTACGGCGTAACGCCCCGACAACTGAGGCAGTTAGCGTTTAATTATGCTCAACAGAAAAATATTCCAAATAATTTCAATAAACAAACTCAGTTAGCAGGCAAAGATTGGTTGTATGGGTTTCTCAAGCGAAATCCTGAAATATCATTGAGACAGCCTGAGGGGACTAGTCTTAATCGAATTGCTGCATTTAATGCGGACGAGTTAAAACTTTTTTATTCAAATCTCGAGAAAGTTTTACAAAAATTTAAATTTGAAGCAAACAGGATATATAATATGGACGAGACGGGTGTAACCACTGTACAGAAGAAGTGCCCGAAGGTTTATGGACGTAAGGGTGTAAAAAAAGTAGGAGCTGCTATTTCAGGTGAAAGAGGGAGGACCATTACAGCCGTATTTTGCATGAGTGCCACAGGAAATTATATCGCGCCCATGCTGATATATCCCAGAAAGAGAATGGCTCCTGCGCTGCAGAAAAATGGGCCAACTGGTGCTAACTATAAATGTTCAAAAAATGGATGGATGAATTCTGAACTTTTTCTTGATTGGTTAATGCACTTCGAAAAACAGGCAAATCCCACTTTAAATGACCCGATTCTCCTTATCCTTGACAACCATTCAAGCCATATATCCATAGAGGCATACGATTTCTGTAAGTCAAATCATATTCATATGGTGTCCCTTCCGCCACATACTTCCCATCACCTTCAACCCCTTGACCTATCCTTCTTTGGTCCTTTAAAAAATGCGCTATACAGGGAGTATGATATTTATTTAACTACAACAGGCCATGAAAAGATCACTGAATATGACGTAGCTGAGCTGTTAAATAAAGCGTTCGTAAAAGTCGCATCGATGGAGAAAGCAGTTTCGGGATTTCGTTCTGCTGGAATAAGGCCATTTGACCCTAACAAATTCAACGAAGATGATTTCGCTCCGGCCAACGAAATGAGACAGTTTGTAGTAGAAGGTTCTCCCGAACGTAGCGCTAATTTATTAACACTTGCATCTCAGCCAAATCTACAAAAAATTCCTAATCCGGCAACACCCGAACCTAGTGAAAATTCAGACGGTGAAGATAGACAGACAGCTCATATGCCAAAACAACAGCAGCAGGATCTACCTATTCAAGGTCATCTACCATGTACATCTACCGCTGAACAAGATCATCTACCATCTACATCTAAGTCTGGACACAACCATCTACCATCGACATCTACATTAAATAATTCATTCTTCCAATTTGCACCTATTCCAAGGAGAAAAGAAAAAGGAAGAGTAAAAACAGTGTCTCGTTCGAAACAACACTCTGAAATATTGACTAGCACACCCCTAAAAGAACGATTAGAACAAGCTCAAGCAAAGAAAAGGGAAAAAGACGTGAAAAAAAACATGAAATTAAAAAGTGTCAAAACATTAGGAAAGAACAATATTAAGAAAGATAATAAGAAAATGAAGAGGGCTCCAACACCTGAACTTGATGCACAAGAACGTGACGAGGAAGATGAAATCGAGAATGCTTATTTCTCGATCCCACCTCACTCCTTCTACGGAACCACTACAAGAAAAATAACGGCAAAAGAGAATGTTGCAAAAAAAGTAAAAAAACGCATATGTCAGTCTCCGGAAATTAAAAGAGGGAGAAATAAGAAACCAGCAACGCCTGAATCATCAGAGGTATCTGACATAGACGATAGTGACATTTGTGACGATGATGAAGTAGACGATATCAACCCCAACTATGTTCCATTTGATGCAGAACCTGACGTGCGGACTGAATTATGTGGCATATGTGGAGAACATGGAAAAAGCGAACTATGGTACCGGTGTGTTGCATGTGGCTTATGGAACCACGCGGCATGTACCGGTAAAGATGCCCCCGAACAATACATTTGCGACTTTTGTCAAGGTTAAACAGATACCTACTTAACATTATAGGTATATAATCACTCGTACAATAAATATTTGTTCTTGCATGTGAATTTGTTTTTATACCACTGTATTATTAGGTACTTGTATATTCCAAACTACTGCGCACTGTTCCCCACCCTGTGCGCACAGTTACCCCATGGGTGGGGAACGGTGCGCAAATGCAATTTTTTACTTTTTCTAATTATATATGATTATGTTAAGAAATTCAATATCTATTATAGTGCATACTGAAAGTAGAATAATTAGGGTATCAGATAACGTTTTTATTTTATTTTTTATGTTTAAGAGTTGACCACCACAACGATTCTCGCTTAGGTGCGCACCATTCCCCCACCTTCCCCTATAAACAAAACTAATATTAATTAAGATCATTAACTATATAATTACGTATAGCAAACCAACAATTCATAACGATACTATCAAAAAAAGACATTTTGAAATTGAAAAATTGGAACTTCTGAAAACAACAAAATTGTGCAATTAGTTTATGAACCTTATAATAACTGGAGCATGCGCAGAACTTTTGATCAAAGGACCATATCGATATTATTATAAAAATGAGTTACCAAGAAATATATGTTATTTAAAACTTGTTATAAATAATATTAGATTTAGATCACAATATTTTAAAAAAATGTATTTTTCCAAATTAAGAAATAGGCAACCAACCATACATAGAATATACTTTATTTAATAACAAGATTTAGTGAAAATTAGTTTTCAACTAAGGAGTCGAAATATGAAATAAAAAAAGTTATTAGTTATAATAAAGTTATAAAGTATAAAGTTATAATAGTTTATTTTAAAATTGTATTATATTTGAAATGAGATATTTGATTAAATCGAAATAATAAACAATTTTATAAATCAAAACAAACTGAATGTTATACAGCGGGAATATATCGCAATGAATTTTAATAAAAATTACATTTTTGTGTTCTGTTTTGCACGTAACTTTTATTACGAATCAAAGTAGTTTATTCGCATGTAAAATATGGTAAAATATATAATATAAACAGTGAGAAACATGTCGCAAGAAAATAGTTTCACAACCGTCGAAAACATAAACGTATGCAACCAGCATTTCAACAACTCACAAGTTGACAACAAACAAGTTTTGAGGTTATACCGTTTCAATCCAAGATTTGTTGCTGAAGAAAAGTTAAACAATATATTCCATATTTCTATTTAATTTTGTAGAGTACTTTGATTACCAAATCAATTATGCTTACATTACATAGCATGACACAGTCAGGGATTCCCGACAAAATGTGGCAACCACCTTTTGTACAGTTCGAGACTACCATGGGCGAATTCATAGTGGAATTGTATTGGAAACACGCTCCAAACACCTGCAGAAACTTCGCCGAACTAGCCCGGAGAGGCTACTACAACAACGTGATCTTCCACAGGATAATACCAGATTTTATGATACAAGGCGGAGACCCAACTGGTACTGGCAAAGGAGGCACTTCTATATACGGGCAAACATTCAAAGATGAAATACATCCTGAGTTGAAACACAGCGGGGCCGGTATTCTTTCCATGGCTAATTCTGGGCCAGATACCAATGGATCACAGTTTTTTATCACTTTGGCACCTACACAGTGGTTGGACGGTAAACATGCGATATTTGGGAGGATTTATATGGGGATGAATATCATTAATAGGATAGGATTAGTGGCTACTGATAGAAATGATCGACCAATTGAGGACATCAAAATTATGAGGGGCAAAATCATTAAAAATTAAGTCAACATAATGAACTGATTTGAACAAAGAGTGAAAAATTTGTGAATGTTTATGGGTATGTTGTAAATTAGACTAATTTTGTATATTTTTAAATTGTAATTTAAAATAAAAATTAAGATACATTTTTTTATTATGACAATCTTTAGCAATCAAAACACAAATAAAGTTCTATAAGCTAATTTGCTGGCTGCAGAGCAAGAGGCTCCTATTGGCATGGTGAGGTCTTCTTCAGTGACAAAGTTGTATCAGGTCAGCTGGCCAGTTCCTTTTGAGTCTCATATTGGCTTAACAGGATTCTTAGATCTTTATGAACTGCTAGGTTTGACACATACCAAGGTGCATCAGCTATTATTTGAAGTATTTTTAATTGGCATCTTTGAGTTATGGCTGTTTTTGACTTACTTGCACATTCCCAGAATTGGATTCCATACATCTAGATAGGTTTTATAACAAGGATTTTGTTTTCAAGGCTCAGTTTCGATTTCCTGCCTACTAACCAGTTTAGATCTTTATTCTTAGGGCAATTTATTTCCACTTCTTAAGAATATGTTCTTTCCAGGTGAGTTTTGAGTCAAGATGTATTCCTAGGTATTTAGTGCTAGAGAATTAGGGAAGTTGGATATTGTTAAATGAAACTGGGGGACATGGCTCTCTTCTCAAGGTACAGACTGATTTTATTTCATTCATTTTAATTCTCCACTTGTAAGACCATGTCTCGATTTCATCCAGTTGTACCTATTGAATGTTAGATGCTATAATTGGATTTTCATTGACTGCAAGGATGACAGCATGCCAAGTGACAGTTTCATTAGTGGATAGTAGATCTGCTGTGTATAGCACATATATTGGTCCAAGAACGCTGCCATTTGGAACACTAGATTTTATAGGAAAATTATTGCAATTACTTTCATTCACTCTTGTTCGGAATTATCTCCCATTCAGATAGAATTTTAACAGTTTAAGGTACATACTTAATGGGTAAATATTTCTTGATTTTGAAAATCAGGCCTGTGTGCCAAACCTTATCAAAGTCTTGACTAACATCTAGAAAAGCAACTGTGCAGTAGTGTTTGCTTTCCATTGAAGAATCGGTGTGTGTACTATTCTATGAATCTGATGTATTGTCGAGTGTTTTTTTTTAAGCCAAATTGGTGCTTGGGTATCCTCCGTATTGGGGTCTGAGCTAATTTTTTGTAACAGTAACCTTTCAAGTATTTTGGATACAACTGGTAGTAGGCTTATTGGCCTATATGATGAAACCTCATTTGGATTTTTTCCTGCTTTTGGGATTAGTTTTATTTGAGCGGTTTTAAAGAGCTTTGGCCAGTAGTTTAATTGTAGAATAGCATTGAAGATTAGAGTAATCAGTATGATTCCTTTATCTGGTAGTTCCTTCATCATTTTGGGTGTTATTTTGTCCAGCCCAGGAGCTTTTCTAATGTTTAAATATTGGATTTCTTGTTGATCTTCATTTTTGGTTATATAGTTTAGTTTAGATAAAAAAAAGCTTATTTTGTACTTAGTTTTAACTTATTTTACATATGCCTCTTTTATTTATTTGGCTTTTACCCTAGTAATGCTATCACAAGTCTCATATAATCCATTTATATTGACAGATATGTACGTTTTAGCTTAGATAGAAGCTCTTATTATTATTCTTTCAGTCATAAGCATTCATAAACAAAGAATATTTTCTATTTTTTACATTGCTCGTAATAGTTTGCCACTGTTTGGACACATCTTGAGAAATCAAACCTATAACGTGTATACTTGGTGATAAAGGGAATAATTAGAGGCACATAGACCCAATTATCTTACAAATCAATATTTTTAATGTGTCTTCTTGATTCCTAAATATTTTATCTAATTGTGATAGCATGTTCAACATAATGAATCCATGTATCTCATCTGTTGTTTTTTAGCCAATATTTTCACATTTTCTCATCATTTATTATCTTATATTTTTAAAACATCCTTAAATTATCCATCGTAATAGGTTGCACATGTTTTAACCCATAAATAGAAGATAATCATTTTATTTTTTCAATGCTGTCAAAGGGTGCTAGCATTCTTTGAAGGTATCTGCAGATTTGTACCAGTACTTACTTGCAGAGGTAAGAAAAAACCAGTAATACATGACGAAAGGAATGTCATTGCACAATGAAATATAAACCGTATATCAATCAGAAGGTAGGGTAAATAAAACCAAGACAAATATCCAATTAATAATATTATTAATTAAAATTTAACATACTTTCAGTGTTCTATAAAAAATACTTTTTCTGTAGAATCCAAATTCACCACTACAAATCATAACGTAATTATAATATAGTAAATTTCCAAAATAGTTTGATTAGAAAAAATAGAGAACACCAATTTTTTTATTTTTATATGCTATGCAACGTCTACATCATTTCAAATGCTTGAATATGATGCTTCTTATGGTATTAATCTATTAATAAAGTGACCTGAAAGGACACTACAATACTTTTGTTACTATTCTCAATAGTGGCATTTGTATTTTCCTAATTGGCATAAATTTGGCAACATACAATCAAAATTTATAGTCAACTGTGTTGTATCCATTTATTTTAGCACTAATTACTAAAACTGACACTATTTCCTACCATTTAAGACATCTATTTCTTTCTAATTATCTTCTTCTTCTCCTCATTTCCTTATGTTTGAAACTAGGATGTCACTTTATTGTTTTATGTAACAAATTTATTTACGAAGACTTGGTACATAGTGCACAAAATATGTATAGCTGTATATTCCTAACTAATCAAACATGGACTCCACAGCTAAATAATGGTTATCTTTTAACAATGAGCTTCAACGACAGGTGACATCAATAAAAACAGGTCTTTTAAGAACCTATACACTCAACCAAAAGTTTTCTTTCTATCATGTAGAAGTGAGAAGTGTCATACACTTCTTTCCAGCTCCAGATGAAGTGAAGAAATCTTCCCAACATGTTTGAGACTCCATACAGGACACAAAATTGATTTTGAAAGTTCAATAACTGTAGTCTTCATCCGTTTCGATAAACCAAAGATTTCCGAGAAGCAATTGAGATCGAATAAAGCCCTATTTGCCTCAATAAAAGAGGTGATGGCGCCCAATTACTTTCAGGATGAAGAATTTCTCTTAATCACAATAAAACACATTTTTATTCAGATTAGGAAATAAAAAACGTATGTAAGGTTGTATTTAATATTAGGTTGCATCATATTTTGTTCATTCAATTAGGAATAGATGCACTATACATATTTGTTTATAATCTCTAGTACTATTGTACTTTGTTTTTGTTATTTGTTGAAAAACACAGTTATTTTGACACATTCACATATGTAAATAGAAAAACGCCACATAAAAATCTCATAAAATATAGCTGCAAGAAATAATCTCACAAATTGGCATTCTCTATCCTTTAAAAAATAAATAACATAGGTCTAAAGAAATCAAGGGAACCTCTAAATTTGTTATAGTGGTGGTCTAACTTTTTAATAAGCCAGATCAAATAGATTTCACTAAAATTATCAGAATGAAGTTGCAGGAGTATCTATTTATCGAAGGTTAAGAGATTAAATGTTGCTAAGTCATTGCCACGACCAATAAAGCCAGTGAATATGGCATGGCTGTAGTTTTTGGTCTTAACAGCACAAGTCTGTATATTTTACCAATAGTATGACTGTATATGCCATAAATAGTGCCTCGTTTTATATGTACATTAATAAAAGTCGTCTAATACTCTACATAAGACCTGAAACTTCATTCTGAAAAGAATCTACTGTTATGGAAAAATGGTTTTTGGTTTAAATGACTTATCGTAAACTTCTGAGGGAGTATTAGTACAAACTGAAACTGACAAGCAAGTCATTAAAAGGTCTATAGTTTACTATTGCATACTTTTAGCAAATTGATCCCCAATTTTACCCTCTGATCTTTAATCCTGTAATATACAGAAATATCAATTAAGTACACCACTCAAATACTTCATGCATGGGAGAAATTACCACAAACTTCACTGACTTCCGACTCAATAAGGTTTTACATGGTTCTTCGTCCCGTAAATCATCTTTGGTTAATATTTCCATTGAAACATGTCACTGCCAACATCTTTACTATTAAAAATTAAACCAAAAACCATTTTTTATTCGAACAAAAAATATTTTCTGGCTGTATACACCTGTAGGCTCATAAGTTTATTGAACACATTTTCCTCTTTACCTAAAATTTAGCCAGGCAAGTTAACAATCTTATTTTTCTTATATATTGACGTCAATATCAATATCCACTAAAGAATTAGATATATATATTTATATGAAGTCTGACGGGCTTTGTTTGTCTCCTCGTTTTCAAATTTAACTAGTTTACTAATTTCGAGAGGTCATCCAATAATGATTTTATAAGGTTTTGCTGTACATGAAGAGAATCTATATTGGATGACAAATTTAAAAAAAATCATGTAGCTATTACAAATTCTCAATATTTGCTAGACAAATTTGGAGCATTTGGGCATTTCCACTTTTGGAGTAACACTTGTATGCAACTGGAGGTCATAAAAAGTTAGGTCATGTTATGAATTGCCTAAATAACTTCAAAATGTTAGTCAGCAAAAACAAAAAACTAATAAAAGTCATTTTGGCAGAATTTTTAATGTAAAAATGTTTTCTTCCAAAAATATGAATGGAAAACAAAGAGTTACATCGGAAGGACTTGTAAAATGTTAGATTATGTGTACTATATGAGGTCATTTAAAGTTTGACACAACTGGATGGCATAAAAAGTTAGGTTATGTGTGTTACTTGAGGTAATTTAAAGCTTGGCAGTCACGGTGAATGAATTTTCATCCAAATTACTTGAAATAAGACATTTTTAATGAAATAATTGCTTCATTTGGAGTTCATATACAATTTAACGTCACTAACTTACATAAACATATTCGGATTACAATAAAATCGGAAATAATAAGTATAAATTAATTAAAACGTAATTTTTCGAAGGCAATGAAAGAAAATTTTATTTTGACAGCATTTTTAATGTGAAAATGTTCTCGTATATGTGGAAAATATGGTGTCTTGACTAAACAGCATGTAAAACATTATGTTATCTGTACTGTATGAGGTCATTTAAAGTTTGACACAACTGGATGACATAAAAAGTTAGGTTATATTAGGTTATGTGTGTGGCGTGACTTATAAGATCTTGGTACCTCTAATGAAGCTATTGCTAAACGAAGCCCTGTATTGTTCGCAATATTAGGAACGCTGTACGGTTAGGACAGCATAAAATTGAACATGTAATCGATGTAACTGTAGTGTAAACGATCAATAAAACTGTCTAACGTGTGCTTTAAGAGAACGAGGAGGCAGTTGGAGCGGACAGACCGATAAATGCAAGAAAGAATTATAAACAACTTCGCAATATACTTAAAAATCATTCAAAAAAACAAATAATCACATATATGCACGGTTCTTATTTTATTTTGTGCTTTTGGAATATGCTACAAAGCTTTGAAGATTTTTCTGTGAAATCTACAGGTGGATTTTTTACACGCAACTAATTTTCCACCACGTATGTAAAGCCACCGCATATATAAAACACCAAAAACCATTGTTTTCTAAATGTGTAGTGTGTAACGTGAAGTGCTAAAGTGGATTTGTGTTGTAATAAACTCTTGTGCTCTTCTATGCGTCGTTTAAATGATCTCTCTGTTTGCCTGACGTAAAAATTCCATCCAATGAATACTATTCGTTAACTAAACTTTGTGAACACTTAAAAAACGGTAGTTTTTGGTGTTTTAGTTACGAAATAGTGATGTAATGTTCGAATCCATCGACTAACACTATACTAGGTCAGTTTACTTTTCACAGAAATGAAATCCAAAAAGTTTTGCGGTATACAATTTTTTTTAAATAATTTTGAACCCATTGACATTCTGTTTTTGAAATGTAAGTACAAAAACACATGTAAAAAATTGTTATTTACTATATCCCAACATTTTTCCAATGCAACGCGGTTCAAAATTAACACAACAATTTTTTATTTTCACTTTTTTTGCTTAATATTTATATATTTTGTTATAATTACAAGATTGAACATTTACGTTTCTGTTTCACCTGCATTACTGGACAGAGTACTGCCCGAATGGCTTCGTCGAATACTGTCTTTAGACCTTTTTGCGTTAAAGCTGAACATTCAAGATATTTTACAGCACTGATTTCTTTCGCCATCGCCAAACCCTGAAAATGTTCAAATCAAAACTATTAGCGAAAAATGGTTTTAAAAATTTTAAATAACTTTGTAAAATTACTACATAATATAGCAAAAGCCTCCAGACTAACAGTAATCGCTGACATCTCTAAGGCGAGTGTTGGGTGTTTAGTAGTAGAAGTTTTTAGAAAAACTCATGCCCATGATACATTCGGAAATATGTACCAAAAATTCGTAAAACTTTCTAAAACGATCGAAAAAAACTTCAAAAGCAACGAAGAAAAATTCATAAACATAAAAAAAACTACAATCTAAGAACTATAAGGATGCTGAAGAATTATAAAAATAATATACAGGGTGTTCCAAAATTAATAGTCCATTAATTAATTAATTAATGTTCCGAAATGACAAAATAATTTGTTTCTGTTATTTTTTTATTTATATTTCAATCCAGAATGCTTATAGAAAAGTTTTTGGAAAGAACGATGAAAAATTTCTAAAACGATCGAAAAATATTCTAAAAGCAATGAAGAAAAATTCACAAACAGTTTATAAAAAAACTACAAACTAAGAACTATAAAGATGCTGAAGAATTATAAAAATAATATACAGTGTCCCATAATAAATTGACCATTATCTAAAAAAGAGTGATAGATGACATCAAAATAAAGCGTTTGACGTGTCAAAATTATTTATTTTATTTTTTGTTTATATCTAACTCTAGAAAGATGATAGAAGTGTTTGGAAAGACCGATGAGAAGCTGGGAAATAGCCCAAAAATTATAAAAAAAAGCAACCAAGAAAAATCCCCATAAATAATTGACCAATAGCTAAAAAAAATTATTATTTATTAATATTATTAGTTATTTTTTGTTTTATATTTCACTCCAGAAAGATTAGGAAAAAGTTTTTGGAAAGACTAATGAGAAATTCAGAAGTTCTTCCCAAAAATTCATAAACATTTCTAAAATGATCGAAAAAAAACTTCTAAAGCGGCGAAAAAAACTACAATTTAGTAGTTTTTACTACAAACTATAAGAAACTCACAATTTATAAAAAATAGTATACTGGGTGTCCCATAATTAATTGGACATTCATTAAAAAGTTATATGTAAGTAACATCAAGATAAAATGAAAACTGTTATTGCTAATGTTAATATATGATTATGATACTTAAGTAATGTCCAATTAATTATAGAAAAATCTGTATAACAACAGTTTATAGAAACTAAAGCTAACTGACTAAGATTTTTTGTTAGAGAAATATGTTCAGTAATAGTGAAAAATACTTACTTGTGGATATGTTATGGGTGACAGTTTTTTATCCTTCAACTTTTCGATAGTGACTCGATCATCTCGCAAATCCAATTTTGTGCCAACTAAGATAATAGGCGTATTAGGGCAGTGGTGTCGTACTTCCGGATACCACTATAAAAGTACAAAAAATGTTATCGTACATGTTACAAGATCTAAATTAACAAAATATATTTCCTGGAGAATTTATTTCTTTGCAAATGTCTTTATAAAAGTAACAACTGTCTAAATAAAGACTTCAACATTTGAACAATTATTGAGTTAAAACATATGAATCATGCAAAACTTCTCAGCCCTGTTTTTAGTTTGCAAACATTACAAACCCTAGCACCAAAATCAAATTAGCATTCCTTGTAATCTATTGGATTGACTGACGGGTATCTGGAGTACTTCAGAGCAATTTAAAGTTATTCATTGTCTATTTTGGAATGTTTCAAGAAGCTCTGTAGGACTTAAAGGCAGCTTGAAATGTTTTAGAAAACTTTTTACGAATTCGTGACATCTTTGAATGTTTTAGGTGGAAAACTGTACGTAAATGTTGGCATTCGGAGTACTTTAGGATTATTCATGGACTCTTTTAGAATGTTTTAGGAAGCTCTGCAGCACTTTAACGTAACTAGGAATGTTTTAGAAAACTATTTACGAATATTTTAGAGGCCTGTGGAGAACTGTAAGTAAACTTTGGCATCTGGAATACTTTAGGATTATTCATGGACTCTTCTATAACGTTTTAGAAAGCTCTGCAGCACTTTAAGGCATGAAATGGTTTAGACAGCATTGTAGGAATGTATGCAAGCTTGGAATGTTGTAGAGACGTCTGGAAAATTTAGATTATGTCTAAAATTTTTAGAAATTTCTGGAAATCCACAATCAAATTAACTAGGACTACAAAAAAAGCTGATATATGTACGATTTTGGTACAAAATTCATTCCATTCCTTCATAATTATAACAGCTTTTACACTCAATTTGTTATATATATTTTTTTCCTATGTACGAACTTTCAATAACAAGAACTCCAATACTAAGAAGAACTTTTGAGTAGGATGAAAGTTACTAGACCCAGTAAGAAACTTAACTTAAGAGAGAATCTTAACCTTGTAAACGATTACCGAGTGCACTTACCTTAGCTCTAACGTTCTCGAAAGAAGCCGGATTGACAAGAGAGAAGCATATTAAAAATACGTCGGTTTGCGGGTAGGATAGAGGTCGTAGTCTGTCATAATCTTCTTGACCTGCCGTATCCCATAGACCTAGATTTATAGGTTTTCCGTCGACCATAACATTGGCTGAGTAGTTGTCGAAAACGGTCGGGATGTATTCGCCGGGAAACGCATTGGTCGTGTAACTGATTAAAAGACATGTTTTACCGACGGCACTGAAAGAAAAATTATGTGTTAGATAAAATATTGTAGCAATAAAAAGCTTGCCTATGACGTTATCGAGTATTTGAGTGCAGGAAAATGAGATTTTTCTCATGACACTGATCCCTAAAGGCAAACGATAGGTGTTTTTGGTAGTATGGACAATATTTTACAATAAAAAGTACCTCAAATATTACTAAAAAATAAAAAATTTAACAAAAAATTGTTCACAAATTGACAATCGATACGAATTGAATCTTTTATGCCTGGTTGCACCAACATATCTTAAGCTTACGTGCCTTAAGCTCAGCTTACGAAACATACGAGTTGCACCATTGAGTCATTTAAGACTCTTTTCGTCACTCAATCATTGACAAGTTACATGTCAGTTAAGACGTGCTTAGATAAGAATCGAAAATTATGGTGCAACGTAAATGAGAGTTAAGGTGGCCCTAGCTATAAGCGGAGCTGGGCTAAGCTGGAGCTTAAGATCTGTTGGTGCAACCAGGCATAAGTGACTCATTTAATGTCTATAATTTCAAATTTTTAATCTTTCATTAACCTAGCAACGCCCTTAATTATTTTTTTTTTGTGTATGTTTGCGTTTGTTTCAAAAACCACTAAAAATGGTTTAGAAAACATTAGAAAAATATTTTAAAAAAATTGACAATGCTAAATATTGAAATAATTGATGGATTCGACCGTTACTTGATGGAAATTCATTTTATGTAACAATAAAACACTGAAAACTTTGTCTTCAAACTTCCACAAAATTTATTTTAAACTCTTATCACTACAGCTGTTTCAGCTGATTGCCTTTCTCAAGTGATCTATTTTTGGCATGCGTTTACAATTTATAGTCTCTAATGAAATAGGTTGAGGAGGGGAGAACTGCTTGTCTCTAGTTGGTCATTCAGAATTATATCTGTGTTTTTTAATTTATTGATTTCCATAGATTCTAACGAAGATAGCTTAAGGCCTTTATTTTGAATGTGAAGAGTTTTAAATTTGTCATTAAAAGAATGATTATGATCTAGAAGGTGAAGTGCGTATGTCGAATCTGTTTTTCTATTCTTGAAAGCCCTTTTATGTTCTGCTATTCGTTTATTAAAGTTTCTACCAGTTTGACCGATGTAAGTTTTTGGGCAGTCGCCACATTGAAGTTTGTACACACCACTATTTAAGTGTTTTTTATTTTGGCTCAATATTGAATTTACCCTGTATCCATATGGACCCCGTGGGCATTAAAAGAATAAACCTATTCAATCACAGAACAAATAAGAAAAAAAATTAATGCATTTTTATTGAATAAAAAACCTATAAATACAAGTATAAAAAAGTACAAAATAAGTATAAAAACTAAATTCATTTTTAGGTGTGATAGGTTACAAAACATGGAACATGTAATCCAACATTACATTTGATCCATATTGTTCTCACTTTTACTATTGTTCTCTCCGTTTTACAACTTTCTAACCCACATCTTCGTCTTTTACCATCTTTAATAGGATCTACCAAATGTCCAATGTTATCGTATCGTATGTCAGGTATTAGTTCTCTCGAGTTAGCTTGGGGGATTAGATTTTGTCCTGGTCGTAAAGTAATAGTTTGGTATTTTGTCAAATATCCTTGTACTAAAGTGCGCCTCAGTACAAAAACACAGAAGGCACAGAAAAATTCAGCTTAGGTCGAGGAGTTAGACAAGGAGACAATATTTCACCAAAATTGTTCACGGCACCTCTAGAGTCAATATTTAAGGGTCCTCAATGGCAATATATGGGCATCAATATAGATGGAGAAAGATTAAATCACCTAAGATTTGCAGATGATGTATTAATCGCAGATAACTTACATGATACAGTTTCTATGATGCATTCGCTTAAAAGTATGTCTGAAAGAGCAGGATTAAAGATAAACTTTGAGAAATATAACTATTGACAATAATACCACACAACAAACAGACACAAATATCTGGGACACGAAATCAAAATAAGCAGAAACAATTAAACACATGAAATACAGAGGCGAATAGGCCTAACGTGGGCAGCATTTGGCAAATTAAGCGATATTCTAACAAGTTCAATTCCAATGTGTCTCAAGCGAAAGGTTTATAATCCGTGTGTTTTACCTGTACAAACTTATGGAGCAGAGACTTTAACACTCACGCAAAAATCTGCGAATAAACTCAGAGTTACACAACGAGCCATGGAACGTGCAATGCTGAACGTGAGCCTTCGAGACCACATAAAAAAACCAACAAATCAGGCAAAGATCAGGAGTTAAAGACGTCATCGAAAGAACCATGACGCTTAAGTGGAACTGGGCAGGGCACTTAGCCAGAACACAAGATGGACGGTCTACAAGACGTATTATGGAATGGAGGCACAGAAACTATAAAAGAAGCCGAGGACGACCACCTACTACATAGACCGATGATATAAAACGTGTAGCGGGAAACTTGCTACAAGCAGCCCAGTGTAGAGAACACTGGAAAGAACTGAGGGAGGCCTATGTCCAGCAGTGGACGCGATTGGCTGATTGATGATGAAAGTGCGCCTAAATGTTAACTGGGGCATTTTTGGATCTTGATGGCGATACATTAACCAAGCATTAATGACACACAAATCAATAAGATATGTAAAGGGATTCCACCATCACCTTCAATATATTCTAAGTTTTGTACATTATCTCTTTGATAGTCCAACCAAGAACCAATAAATTCTGAAATTTCGTTGGTCAAAATTTTCTGAATAATTATTAGTATTGTCGTTTGTAACTGAAGAGCTACTGGGGCCTGGAGTAAACTGATGAGAAACACATGAAGAAATGGTTGAAAGTTCTTGAATAGCATCATCTGAATTACCACCAATGCGACCGTTAGTAAAAACGAGCTCTGCAGGTGCTAAAAGTTGCTTGCCAGATAAATGTAGAAAATTTCCGCCTTCCATTAAAACTCTTCACTAGTGAGACCTCACTTGGATTACTGCTCATGTGTCTGGTCCCATGAGAGTGTAATAAAATAAAGTGAGTAATAAAATAGTTGGGCATTCAAATTTTGTTTGCTTCAATAGTAATAGACTAAGAATTTTTCAATACATCTTCTATTATACAGTCGCTAATAACTACCTGTAGATGCGACATGACATACTCTTGAAAACAAATAATATAATATCCTGACTCAAATTCTCTAATAAAAATCAAAACGGTGTAGGCTGCTATCTATTTTTTTCTTGAATTAACGTGAGTCATTTAAGAGAAACATGGCTTATATACAATTATTGTTAACTTATAGTTTAATTTCGAACGTTAATCATCCGTCCTTTAATGCGGTGATTTATTTAATCAGTGATTAGTCATAGTGTTTATCGTGATAAGAAGGAAATACGACGACCATAGGGAATTTCACGTAAATGTCGGTTTACGAAACTGGACAAAACAAATTTTGCTTCGAAAATTAAAACGGAAACGCGTAATGATGTTATGAATTTGAATACTGGAAATCAGATTTTATTAGAAACAATATAAAAATGACTTTTTAATACTTTGTTATTTATGTGAAATAGAACAAATAAAACAAACAGTAAAAACCTCGTTATTAGATACTAATAGCGAAAATATAGATGCGATCAATGAATTCTTGTATTTCTGAAGAGGAAAAGAATTCTATATGACAACGGAGACGAACCCATCACAAGTACCTGTAAAATACTACCAATTATAGTAAAGCTGGTTCCTAAAAAGACTGATACAACTCTTAGTAAGATTTGATCATTTTGAGCAGTGTATTTGATTGGTCTGACATTATGACAGACAAATAAACAAACACACAACAAAAAATTGATTAAGAAATTAAAGAAAAAAGAAATTATTAAGGTCTAAATTTTGATCAGTCATCTTAAAAAGTGCTTGAAGCTTCATATGAGCTCTCACTTCTGATTGCTAAAGAAAAGAAGAGCCATATTGTTGGAGAGACGCTTGTTAAACTGTGTTTGATAAAGGCAGTTGATACTATTTTTGGAATGCAGATTGCAGAGTAAGCAAAAGTTATCTCAAATACCTCTTTCTGACAATACTGTGAAACGTTGAATTGATGATATGGCCGAAGACATACAAAACCAGGTAGTTGATGCAGTAAAACAATGTTGGCAAGATTATTTGACCTTCGAGATGAAGTAATCACCTTCTTGGAACACCAAAAGCAAAATGAACTAAGCGTGGCCTTCAAAAAACTTTGTACCCAAGTCATATTGGCTTATTTGTCAGACATCTTTGACTCGTTGAACAGCCTTAACCTAAAACTACAGAGTGGAGACTCAAATGTAGTTACTCATCGTGATGTGATCAAGATGTATACTGAGAAATTGCAACTATGGAGGTGTAAAATATCAGCAAACCCCTGCAATTATTCGAGTTTCCCTAAAGTAGAGTCAACCTCAGAAGAAACACGCTTCAAGGACATTTATGAAGGATCAAGTTTGAAAATCCAAGTATCAAACCATTTGGAGTTTGAGGAATTGGAATAGGAATGAGAATTGAGGAGTTCCAGAAATACTTCACCAACACTTGTGACGATAGTATTTTCAGAATGTCAATTGACCCATTCCATGTCAACATATATTCCCTGCCTGAATCACTTTAAGAAGATACTTTGCAAATAAAACATGATTCCTCTCCCGAATACAACTTTGATATAATGGATAAACCTTCATTTTGGTTTAAAACAAAGTATCGGAATAAACCTAATGCTGCTAGTGACTTGCGTTGTGCACTTACTAAAATTCAGCCACGAATAGGTATACTAGTAAAGAAAATACAAGCACATCCATCTCCCTAACCAACCTAATCTATATTTCTTTTATTAATCATTTTTGTATTTTTGTTATGAATATTTATTATTTGTATACAATGTATTTAGGTAATTTTTATTTCTATCATGTTACCCAAAATTTCCTGTTGCTACTGTTCTATAGACTATGTCAAGTATAATATCAAAACGTCAGGAAACAAACTGTCACCAATTAAGAAAAAATTTAAATAATTTGGCAGACAGCAAGAGAACAGAAAGTAATGGGAATTAATTAGTTTGTTTTATATTATTAATTTTATATATTGTAGGAATTTGAGTTGTTTTTCGCAAATAAAAACAGTTTACTACAAATCCGTCAATTGCTGGCTGTACAATAAAGATAAATTCCCAACAATTTTATATAAACTGACATTATTGTATCTTATGGCAATATAAATAAATGTTTTCTTTTCTATGTAATACTTATTTGTTTTTGTTTTGTTCCTGGATGCATACAATTTATTGTTAAAGGGTAAGGGGCACGAGAAACTTTCATGTCAACAAAAGGGGACATGGTACAAAAAAGTTTGGAAACCCCTGATATAGATGATACTGTGAAACAATCGATTCAAAGACAACTTCATTCATTTTATTTACAGAAAGAGATTCCTGCTTTGGATAAACTTTTAGTAGACATTAATGAAGATGAATCTTTGCCAAACATTAAGAAATAAATTTGTGGAAAACTTTATGTGAATTAGGATTCATTTATGAGAATAACAGTAGAAAATCTGCGCTGATAGAGAAAAAAGAAATTATTTATTGGAGGGTGCAATATTTAAGGGAAATCCAAAAATTGAGGAAAGCAAAATTGTAAAACTTTAAACTTTTTTTTATGGGAATAACGTTCTCAATAGATACAAATTTCAGTAGTTAAATTATGAAAGTTTGTGTGCACATAGGAAGCTTTTTGCAAGTATTTTCCTAGAGGTGGATGGAACTCTCCTGGTTTCCTTAACACAAAAATAAAGAAAAACTGTATAGAAACATATACAAGACTATAAAAAGGAAACAATGATATCATTGTTCTATTAATAAATCAAATCAGGAAGCTTAAATATATAAACCCATCATTTATTTATTATAATACACTATTTTTTAACTATTTAAGGTACTGATTACATAAAATAGATATTTTAGACACAATTATATTTTTCTGATGTCACATTTTCAATCATGTTTTCAATTTTTGGCATAGATTTAAAAAATGCATATATAATCCACAAGTTGATAGTTATTTTTAGTACATAACACCATGCCAACAGTGTTTATTCGATGTTACAATGAATTACAACAGTTTCTATTTATTCTATGATTCTACCTGGTGTTTTATGATGATAACAGAAACAAACTTCAGAGAGATTCAACTAAAATGAATGACTATAAAATTTGTTATAGGAAACATTACAAAAATAATTAAATTGTGATATATATGTTCAATTTATTTTAAATAAAATGACTCATTATGAAAGAATGAAAAAAAAGCTAAAAAATCTACACAAAAAAGAGTTTTGTTATAGTTTGATTACATAAAAAGGACAAATAATTTTAAATTGGCCAAATATTTACATTGGCCAAATCTGAGTTTCTGAGATAAATAGCTTCAAAATCTATAATCTGTTGCAAATTACATATTTTATTGTAGTATACCTGTAATATACCATTATATCAGTTCAATGTGGAATTACTTTTTCAACACAATTTAAAAAAATACCAATTATTTCTGTGTAAAAAAATAAACTGTTTGATAAATCCTTTTTTCTTTTGGGTTATACAAGAAAGTAAGTTTTTTTTACCATAGTAACATAGTAACCCACATACTAATTATAAAACATCTTTTTTTAATACAAAATATAGAACAAAATGTTTGATAAATAGATACTGAATTAAAAATTTTAAAATTGTGTAGAATAATTTTATTTCTATTCATCAAAGTCTACATTTTCTAATTGAAAACCATCAACATCATCAATAAAGTCCAGCTATTCTTAAGAAATTATAAAATGGTTTTAGATCTTGTGGTACTTCTTTTTCTTATGGTGCCCTATGTGGATGTTAGTGGATGTTGGCAACAATTCTGGCATACTCCTCTTGCTCTTGCGTCGCTCTAAAGAGTGCATGGGAATCGAGGTTTGTCCAATCCCTTATGTTTTTAAGCCATTAGTATTTCTTTCTTCTGATGCCCCATTTGGGGCATACTTGGAATTTTGAAATATATGACCCAGATAAGCAGTTTTTCTTCTTTTTATTATTGGCAGCAATTCTCTTTCTCTGCCCATTCAATTTAATACTTTGACATTTGTTGTGTGATCTGTCCAGGGAATTTTAAGTAGTCTTCTTAATACCCACAGTTCAAAGGCCTCTAATTGGTTCATCACATTGGCCTTTATGGTCCAGGTTTCTACACCATATAGCAGTATGGAGTAAATGTAACATTTTAAAAAGCAATATCGATTTCAGTTATGAACTTTGACAAGTTCATAATTGTAAGGATCATAATTGAAACATTTTCTGTAAGTACCATATTTAGTTTTGCAGATAAACAATTTTTTTTTGTTCCCACAAAAAACTCAATTTGGAATGTGTACCTTTTTGAACTCACTGATTGAATTATAAACATTATATTATGCAACAAAATACACAAACATACAACTACATAATCACACATTACACAAACCCATAATACACAAACAAATAGTACAACAAAAACCACACAAAACAGTTACAATTTGATATCCAAACACCACCCTCAGATTGTTTTCAAATAAAAGAAGCCAATTGCCTATAAGATCAAGGCCAAGTAAGTCAAATGTCAAATTGAAAACAAAAATATAACCCACTAAAAACTTGGATATATATTTTTTTGGAGAATTTCTAAAATAATCTTTTAATAATAAAAATGGGATTTTTATTAAAATCACCTGTGGCTTTCTCCCACATAAACATATTATTTAATGGTATGCCACAAAAAAAAAACAGTTTCGGAACCTTTTTATTACTTGATTTGTCAACAAAACAACACAGAATGAAAATACAGAACATTCAGAAGAAAAAAGACAAGCACAAACTACACATAACTTGAAATCAAGAAAAGGAAATCATTACCTAACTACAAAAAACTGAAATAAGATACAGAATTATTTGTATAGCTATGCAAAGCAAAAATATAATACAGAGTACTACATGTTATTCATAAATATATAGAATTATCAATATTTAAACATATTTTAGAAGTGTTTTAGGTCACTGAAGACATAAAAAGCATGTGGATTGTGTTTCTTTTTCCACCTACACTTATCTTAAGAGAATAGAAGAAAAACTAAAAGAATACTTCAACATAATACAGTCTCATATTCAAATTCTGTATGTTCATGGAAAAACTAAACATATCAGACCACAATAGCAGTAAATGGCTTCAATTTCAAAATATCATATTCAACAAGTTGATCTTGTTAGAGGCAAACAACATATTTAGCTAATACTTCAACATTAGCAACAACCTAGTAGTATAAATCATTAGTTATGACAGATTCTTAAGAAAAATATAATTGGGAGTTCAATATAACACTTCCTTTGAATATATTATTGTATAAATCCATAAACATGTTTATAAAATCCAGGTCCAGCTGACTTTAACTAAAGATTGAGCTGTACTATGAATAAGTTTAAGCCTAGCTTGTAGATAAGAGGCAAATTTAGGGCTAATATGAGTAAATACACATTTAAAACAAATGTGTACAGGTATATGTATTATTTGTGCATATTTTGTACAAAATAGAAGGAATTTTAAGAAACCATGATTTTAAATGCAACTGAAAAAATATTACAAACGTATTTCTTCCCTGTACACGTAGAGATTATTTATAAATACTGAAGACTTCATTATATAAATGAATATAAGTTTTATAAAATTTCAAATCATATAAGCAAGTAGTTCCTTGACTTTTAAACTCTTTAATTTCGAAGAAACTATGTAACAATACAATACAAAGGTTATTTATTAAAAGAGGGGTAAAGTTTTAACAGTAATTTGCTTGTTTGTTTATAAAAACGAACTACTTGCCAAGAATTGTACTTATTTTTAAAGGACGTTGGTATATAGATAAAATACATAAAAATACATACCCATCGCCAACCACCACACACTTGATGGCCTGCATTTCGTTATCTTAGTCGATAACGAATATTTATATCAATTAAGGATATATTAATTAAACCAATGTTATATCTGGGTGTGTGATGTGTCAAATATTAGAGCACCTTCTAATTCCTTTCCTTGATGCAGCTCGATACATAAAAATCTCGGTTTCTTAGCTATAGTTGGTAAGCATCACAGCCTCATGTTATTCTTCAATTTGTTCGGATTAAACAAATCTAATCAGACAATGACTCCTTTATAAGAATTCCTAAACACGACCACACACAAACCTACGATGAAAACTGCGCCTACTGTCAAGGCAAATATTAAAATGAAAGCTGTCAGTGACGTCAATCGTCTTCTAAGAAAATTACGTTCCAACGTACCATTTAAGATATACAGTAACGAATTTTCATGATAATCGAATAATACTACAAGATTTTCACAACTTACTTGAAATCAATCAAAAAATGAATCTCAAAAGAAAAGTATAACATTTATTATTCGAAAAATACGCATATAGTTTATAAATTCATATTTTAAATGTTAACTCAAACAAATTTTTGACTACTCGATTGAAACCCTCCAAGTAGACACCATCGGACGTCTATGACATATGACTATCGAATAATAAATCGGTTGATATTGGAAAAGTGATGGAAATGGGAGAAATGTAAATAAATAATGTTTGTCCAAAACTGTTATCATTTGGACCATAGATAATGACTAAATTTAAATTAATAACGCCAGGTATAGTTAAATGAGCCCTTAAAAGGTTTTGAAATGGTAAAAAGCACCTCAAAAAATAGCAAATGGATAAGAAGGTATAGAACGTTTTTCATAATTGGAATAGTGATTCTAGCCTTCCAGATATATCTAGCTGTTAAATTTTTATCTATAAATAAAAGTATAGCAGAACCAAACGATAATAAGTGGCTGTCAGTGCATTTCGACGACGAGCAGGAGGCCGATGTAAATTCTGCAAATAAATTAAAATCAAACCATGATTATGAAGTTAGTTCGGTTGTTCAAACACAAAAAACTAAAGATAAAACCAACCACACGTACTCATTAAAGTACGAAGACTTAGATTTCGTACCAGCTTGTCAAATTTCGTCAAAAGAAGCAGTGTCTGCCATTAATAGAGCCAAAACTCAAACTTGCAAGCAATTTATCTCGAATATTACTTGTCTTTCCCTTAAAAACGAGCTATACCCCAAGGAATTAAAAGGGCTATGTCCAAATGGGGAATTCGTAGCAGGCAAAGAATTGGGCTGTTTTAAAGATGAAAAAAATTTTAGATTGTTGACAGGATATTTTGGTATCAGTAAAAAGGATAATTCTCCTAAATATTGTATGAGATTGTGTCTACAGTCGGGATTTCCATATGCAGGAGTTCAATATTCGTAAGTATTTATGTATAGCATTGTAAAGATGGTTATATTTGGACAATTTTGATATATCAGTATTGTTTTGTAGGAATGAATGTTTTTGTGGAGTGGATGAGCCACCTTTAACATCTAAAGTTCCTGATTCTTCTTGCAATTTGAAATGTCCTGGTGATGCACATGCTACCTGTGGCGGATACTATACTATGAATGTTTATCATACAGGAATTAAAAGTAAGTACAAAGGGAGAACAAAAATAAAACAGGAAACATTTTTATCAACACTACATATTTTGAACCCAGCTTGTATGTGTGAGCATTTTATATATTTTTTTATTATGTACAGTCTAAAACAAACTTATTTAAGGTTAACTAAGAAAATTTTAGGGTTAAGATTGTACAGTACAATTTACTGGGTAATTAGAAGTGATTCAATAGCAACTGTCAGCCTGTTATGGATCATTCATTAAAGAACCTTATATAGGTGACACAGCAGCAATACTGGTCTATAGCTCTTTAAAAAATCTGTGTCTCCCAGGTTTCAAGAAGGCTATGACTTTGGCTTTTTTTCAGGTTTTGGCAGTTTCTGCTAGCAATTTCCTTGATATTGTGACAAATTATTTATCCTGTTCATATCTTTTAGTTATTTTTAACCAACGTAAAGAACTTATATAGGGAATATTATTGTAGCCCTCGAGACAGTCAAATCATATTGGACTTTGAATAAACTTGTTTATGAATTTTATTAAATTACTGAGAAATTACTCCCCTATATATGTTACAAAAGTGTCCCCTATATATGTTACAAAAGTTACTAAAAGGCTGTACACTGTTAAAATTAATTACAATAAGGGAAAAAGTACAATGCGGATCATTAGCCCTAGTACGAAAGGGTAGAAAGACGTATTACTGTTGATATACGAGGAAATGGGGGAAAGTTATTGATCTTGCTCATAGATGGCGCTGCTACAAATAAAATTAATGTTTTCTTCTGTTGGCAGAGTTATTTAAAAATAAGTTTGGAATTTTTGACACCTCACTGTGTTAAATTTATTACCAGTAGTAATATCCCTAGGACATTGATAACAGACGAGATAATTTCATGACAATCGAAAGCTCGTTCCTTGGTAACAGCACGAAGCCGAAGGCTGAGTGCTGTTATCAAGCAACGAGCTTGAGAAATTTGTCACGAAATTATGAGACATTCATCAATGTCCGAGGGATGTTCGGCAGATAATTTTTCGAAAAAAAAAAATCATAACTCAACATAACGAAACATTTATTTATTAAAAGTACAGTTAGTGAAAGTACAATTATTAAAATTTAAGTTAACATTAGATTTTGAATGATTAACATGATTGGGTGAAATTGTTCCACATGACACAAAATGACGAAATTTGAATGGTTGTTAGAACAGTCGAAAAATTATCTTTATAATTGTTTTAAAAAAATTGGGTATATCTTATATCAGGAAAGAAGGAAGGCTCATTGCTCAAATTACCATCTTTTGTCAATGTTTCATTATAAATGTTTAAAAATATTAACTTGATTGAATTTTTTAGGATTCATTCCACAGACAGCTAACATTGAGTCAGACAATAAAACCAGAAGTACAGTGAAGATAGTGTTTCTTTTAACATTAAATGGTAGAGCTTTGAGGCAAATCAAGAGGCTACTTAAAATATTATACCATAAGGATCATTATTACTATATACATATAGATATTGTAAGTATTATTATTTATTTAATATTATTAGGAACAGTAAATAACAAACACTAACAAAGAGTGTACAAGACACAAGGACATCAAGCTATCACACACAGTTCTTAAGCTAAGCTCTAAATTCTTTGGAATACTGTAACAATCCAACCTTTGGGAATATTGATTAGCAAACCTTGGTGTTCTAGATGTGAAGGAATTGTGTCCATAGTTTGTGCAACAGGGTCTAACATAGAAGTGTTGATTTAGCCTTGTTTGTCTACTGGGAACATGGAGATTAACTTTTTCCAATAGTTGAGGACCAAAAATAATCATAGTGAGATGGTTGAGCATGCATCAGATTTGGAAAGAAGTTATGTTGGGGGACCTTTCCATATTTGAATAGTTAATTTCTTCAATTGACTCTGGTTTTGTTTAAATGCAACAAATCTTAAGAATTTGCTTTGATCTCTCTCAATAGCTTGAATATGTGTTATAGTAAGGAGACCAAATACATGAACAGTAATCTAGCTGGGGTCTCACAAGTGAACAATAGAAAAGTTTTATGGATGAGATATTTAAAGAGTCTTTAGCACAACATTTGATAAACCCTAAAAGCTGAAGTGATTTTGAGACAACAGATAAGATATGGGGGTGTAGGATAAGCTGGAATTGAGCACAACACCAGGTCTTTTATCTGAGATACAAAGTCTAAAGGCAACCATTAATAGTATAGATATGATTTGTAGGAGTTTTATTCTGACCAAAAACCATTAAATGACACATTTTAACATTAAGTTCTATTCCGTTACTGTCACACCAATAGCTCAACTGATCCAAATCAGACTGTAGTTTTTGATAGTCACCATCATTCTCAATTTTCAAATATAATTTTAAATCGTCAGCAAACATTAGGAAAGAAGCAAAGAGGAAACAGGATGCAATGTCATTACCATAGTTATTGAATAGAAGAGGTCCTAGGTGTGATCCTTGTGGTACTCCTGAAAGTACCTTAATCTCAAATGATGGAAAACCCTGAACACATACTATTTGTATTCTTTCAGTTAGGTAGGATAACAACCATTCTAAAAGTTCACCCTGGATACCCAGACTCCTCAACTTATTGATTAAAATCTTGTGATTTACCTGGTCAAAAGCCTTTGTAAAGTCTGTGTATACAGCATGAACCTGGAAGCCATCTTCAAGAGATTCTATAAGGAAATCAGTAAATGTCAATAAATTAAGTTCAGTGGAGTGGCTAGAGAGAAATCCAAATTGCTGGTCGATAAAACAGCCTTTTAAAGTTGCTGACAAATAGTCACAGACAAGGCTCTCAAAAACTTTGGGAATACAACTTAGAATGCTAATAGGCTGATAATTGTTCACTTGAGAATTATCTCCAGATTTTAGTATTGGGGTAATAAAGCTAGTTTTCCAGTAGACCGGGAACATCCCTGTCTTTAATGACAGGTTAAAAATGTGAAAAAGAGGTCTAGAAAGTAAAAAGCTAAAGTGTTTAAGAAAAGAAGGTGGAAGACCATCTGGACCTGGCCCCTTGTTGCTATCCAAAATGGAAAGTTTTTCATATATAGACGAAATAGAAATGCTAAATTGTGATAGGTTGATGTCTCCTGTTAAAAAGGTTTCATCCTGCAAATCAAAATCTTTATCACTATAAGTTTTGGAAAAGTATTCAGCAAATAAATTGACAATCTCCATGCCAGAAGAGCCAGAAATATTATTATAGTGCATAACAGAAGGAATATTATTCCTGTTTTTTTTACTGTTAACAAATTTCCAGAAATTTTTAACATCATCTTTCAGAGAGGATTCAGTTAGAGCAACATAATCAAGATAGCATTGTTCTTTCAGTTGTTTACAGTTAGCTTGTAAAATCATCCCAGTAAATTGTGAAAGAAAGTTTGTTACTTCTTGTACACTCATTCAGTGAACGTCTCTATAAATGCCATCTAAAATCAATCCTGGCTCATCGAAATATTGAGATTCACATTTAAACCCAAGTGGAGTATGATGCCTATCCTCTGGGAGTAGGGCATACTCAGCTCTAGATACCTCAACCTCTTCATCTTGGACCATGACTAGATCTAATAAGGAGTTTTCATTTTTTAACAGTGTTTACTTGATACTGATTATGAAAGGAACATAAAAATGAGAGGAATTGAATAGAATCGACTTCATTTGGTGAGGTTCCTGGTAATGTAGTAGCCACAGAAGACAATCTATCAATGGACCACTGACAATTGGGAAGATTAAAATCTCCCAGGATACATAACATATTCTGGATACTTTTCAGCTAGATTATCTACATTTTCTGCAAATTGAAAAATAAAAATAATCATAGACAAGAAAAATGAAAAATATTTAGTGGAAAAAGATGCATTAAGAATACTTTGTGTACATCATCTAGGTATTTATTCTATGTTTTCTGAGTATAAATTACCATGTTACATTTACACATTGGACACAATGTGCAACTGTAATGGTTGTCTATTTTACTTATTTAAATGCAAATTGTATATGATCTCTTATGTATTTTATTCTTTTTTAGCGTCAAGATTACCTCTACAGAGAATTGTTGCCCTTAGAACAAATTCTTCCTAATGTTCGTTTGACAAGAAAAAGATTTGCTACAATATGGGGCGGGGCTTCGTTACTAGAAATGCTCAGATCTTGCATGTGGGAACTTTTGAATATGAAAGAATGGAAATGGGATTTTGTGCTAAACCTAAGCGAAAGTGATTTTCCGGTAAAACCCATACAAAAGCTATCAGAATTTTTAACTTTGAATAAAAATAGAAATTTCGTAAAATCCCACGGAAGAGAAGTACAACGGTTCATCCAAAAGCAAGGTTTAGATAAGACTTTTGTGGAGTGTGAATATAGAATGTGGCGCATCGGTGACCGGTCTTTGCCTTCTGGTATTCAAATGGACGGAGGAAGTGACTGGATAGCATTATCCAAAAGTTTTGTCGAGTATGTCACTGATCCAGTCTCTGATGATCTCATAACAGGACTACTAAAAATTTTTAAACACACTCTCCTACCCGCAGAATCTTTTTTCCACACTGCACTAAGAAACTCCAAGTTCTGTGATACTTATATAGACAACAACTTACATGTTACGAACTGGAAGAGGAAGTTGGGGTGTAAGTGTCAATACAAGCACATAGTGGACTGGTGTGGATGTAGTCCGAATAATTTTAGACCAGAAGATTGGCCTCGGATTGTCAATACACTGTCTAGGCAATTATATTTTGCTAGGAAGTTCGAACCTGTGGTAAACCAAGCGGTTATTTTACAGCTGGAGTTGTGGTTATGTGGTTTGGATGCTCCATCAAGAAATGTAGACAATTTACACGGGTATTGGCAAAATCTTTATCATCATAGAGATCTGGAAGTCACAAAAAATGATGCTCTGTTGACTATAAGCAATAGTGTGAAAAGACATGCAATGAAAATGCTCAATAACGACACATGTTATCTAAACACTCTATTAGAAGTAACTTCGTATCACTTTAACGACTCTTATCAATACACTTTATTCAAATTCGACATTTCTGATACTCACTCTATAGAATTAGCCATTAAACCTTTAAACAAAAACGTTCTTTCTAAAAACTCCACATTGATGTCTCACTTAGATTTTTTAACTGTAGCTACAGATTACGATCAAAAGGAGCAGATGTCCAGGAATTTTTTAAGAATTATGTCTCCGTTTTCTGAACCTTTACTTATTTACAGCTTTTCTCGAAGTCCTGGTTCAAAAATATATAATCTTACGTCGATATGGATCGGTCCAGATGGACAAGTGCACGACGTTGTCGATTTTTCAGTCGATAGCTCGTCGCTTCTAGGTAATGTTAAAGCAGGACTGAAGCAGCCAATCTTGCCAGGTCAGTTCTTATTTAATAACAGTTAATAAATAAAAAAAGTGGTGCAGTAGGCGGTACTGTAGAGAAATCAAATCCATCCATTTTGTGGAATTTTTTCAAGCAAGGATTGCAATTTTTTAAAGAATAACTGAATAATAGAATTGTGGGTATGTACACAACAAGGGGAAAAGTATTAAGCTTCTTATTGAAAGTAATAGAGAATTCAAATTCAGATTCAATGCAGAGGTCGTTAAACTTATAGTCCAATTACTGAGGCTTAAAATATGGTAATACCTCCGAATTTTTTATAACTGCATCGATTTCTTTGAAAATTTCAAATTAAGCTTATCTTACCCTCCACTTCAAAAGTTATATACGCTCTAGGTGCGCTTTTTGTTTTTAAGGGGTGAAAACTACCCCTTATTGAAGAAACTGGGAAAAACACGGATTTAATTATTTTATGCACTTAAATCTTGTTTATTCGCATAAGGTAAATATTGTAATGTGTTCTCTAATATGAAAATTAATTATTCACAATTTTCAACCCTTAAAACCCTTTAAAAACCCTTAAAAGCTAATACTTTTTATAAAAATAATATGAAAAAAAAGTCGTAGCAGCTTGAGACATTTCAATTATGTATTTAAATACAAATAAAAATTAATACCCTAGCTATACAATAATATTTTATTTATTGGAAATTTTCAACCCTTACAACCACCCTTATGACAAAAATTAATTAAAAATGAATTAAAAAATATTTTTATCGGTTTGAAACATTTCTTGAGTGCATTTTATTTAACGAAAATTAATTTTTTGCATATAAAATAACTTTTTATTATAATTTCAACATTTCAACCCTCACAACCACCCCCTTTGTCAAAAATGAATTAAAAAATATTTTTAACGATTTGAAACATTTTTAGAGTGCATTGTTTGTAGACAAAAATTAATTTTTTACTTATAAAATGAGCCTACTTTTTTCAACCCTTACAAGCACCCCTTTTGATGAAAATAAAATCCTTAAATCCTTAACTTAGACATGGACATAAATAGAAAAAAATTATTTTTTAATATATATTACAATTTTTTTATTTTCCAAAAAACTAAAAATAAATAGTATTTATATAAAACGATCCCTACCTGTTTCCAAAACTTGTTTTATATAATATATACATATATATATATATATATATATATATATTATATATATATATATATATATATATATATATATCGGAAAAAGGAGTACGAACGTCAATCCAATATATATAAGGATCACTCAGACGAGTGGTGGGTTCTTATATCGGTCTCTAGGTGGAGAAATAAAAGACAAAGTTGATAGGCTACTTTATCTATTTTGAAGACGTTTCGCTTTCGAGTTTTGAAAGCATCATCAGTTCATCTAAAAAGTACAATATGAGAACCACACAATCATGGAAACGATGTTAATTGTTACCTTAAAAAGACATGTAGCAGTCAAAGTTATTAACAATAATGTGAATGAAACTTAAGTAAATGGACATAATACGCTGATCTTGTATAAACAATCAAGTAACTAACAACATATATGAACTTATAAAAATTAGCACAGCAAATGACCATGTGGTCTAAAGTAAATGAAATGTTATTTAATATTAATTAGTGAGAAAGAACCAAGAAAATCATAGACAACTTCCAACTATTTAATGATTATTAAGCTTTGATTTTAACTTTAGGTAGCATTATAAGTGATATTAATAAAAATTATAAAAGTAGTGTAAATGAAGTTACCGATCAAAGCCCTACAGCTGTCGCCGGAAAAATGGCGTTAGATGAACCGGAACGAACTAAACGCGAAAAGACAGCCAACCTTGAGGTCAAAATACTTTTGACAGATCAGCAAGGTGGAGGTACCAACCCAAATAATTGGGCGGTCAATTTAAAAGTTTTAATGAGTTTGGATGACTACCCGGTTGCAAAAGACAAACCAGTAAAAGAAATTGGTATTGTAATAGCAACTCCTCTCATTAATCAGTCTAGATTTACAAACAGGAGATTTTCATTCAACCTCATATATAAGTAATAACGTTAATCATTATGGCTAGATAATCAGCCACAGGTGGTTAACGATAAATTAACTTCCAACAGCCCAAGGTTCATGCACTTGAAACATTTACCTTACCTTAAATTTTAGAAATGTGGAGTTATGATGTTAAAAAACTTTAGCTAGTAACAACATAGTGGTGTTTTTTTGTTACTATGTGCAAAAAAGTGTTTTTGTTAACGTTGGAAATGTATGGTAGCTTTGAACTTAAAACGCAAAGTTTACCCAAGGTTAATCGAAAAACCCAATGTAACTACATTTAAAGGAAATAATTCTTTGAATTGTCGGCAATAACTAAATTTTTGATTGTTATAAAGTTTTAATGTGAGCTTCTGTTTTCATAGAACGCAAGCGCCGACAATTACAAGTAGTGCTTTTGAATATTTATGTCGTTAAGGTTCATTGGTAAAACCGATGAAGTTAGATCCCAGTCTGGGGAGATATTAGAATTTTCTTAATTGAAATTCTTTTTTAGTTAATGAAAATTATTATTAAAGTAGGTTAGTTGTTAATAGATATATCAGTCAAGTTAGTTATCTGTGATGTTGTATTGTTCTTGGTATCGGATTTAAGTAAGAAGTGGTATATATCGCTTAGATTCTTAATGTCACTCTTAACATTGATGAAAAAAGTGAAAAGGTAGAAAACTTTTGAAAAACATGTTTTTTTAACGAAAAATGACACTTTTTAATAGCGAATAACTCAAAAAGTATTGATCTAACGAAAAAAATGTTTACTACATTTTTTGTTTGAAATTTGTCCTTCTATCGAATAGCGTGGTTATTTTGAGTGAAAAAATTTTCACCCTCGATAAGGGGTGGCAAACACCCCCAGGGTGGAAGCGCACATCGGCACTATATAACTTTTGTTCCTTGAGTAATTATTTACCAACACACAAAATTTCAAATGAATCGATTTAGTTATAAAGAATTCGGAGGTTAAAACCCTCAGTAACTGAACTATTATTGTAGTCATCAAAATTTAATTTATATTGAAACGTTGTATTAATTAAAATTAATGTGCCTCCATGGATGCTTTCAGATCTGCAAAATTTGAATATTGTGGTGTAATTCTTAATACAAAGTGTTTGCAGAGGATACAACCAGTGCTCAGTTAAAAGCACAAGATCTGGCCAATCATTTTCGCTAAGAAACATCTCCAGTTCCTCAACTTTGTTGCATACAGAACATATGTTGTATAAAATAATAGAAAATGTATTAACAATATTAGATTTAGATGTACTGGTATCTAGTTTATCACTTACCACACTTAAAATATTGTTATGTTATTTTTGTGCTGTATTTTTTTATGATAAGTATAAATTTCGTCAATTTTGGGCTATCTGAAATGCCCCTGATGATGCTTTAGAACGCGAAAGTACGTAGGCAAGATTTGATTAATAAAATTCTGCTTGATATCTGCCTTTCATTTTTTCAAAGTTCATTTATTCGAGCATTCAACATTATATCAAAATCGTTATCTCAAAATAATTTATACTTATCTTCTTTTTCCTCCAATAAGAGCCTTAGCGTTTTATTTTCTAACTGCATTAAATTTATGGGTTTAGTAACATCAGATTGTTTTTAACAACACACCATACGCGTGTAATAATGCAAACTTTTGAGTAGCGTACATAAATTAATTCATTTTTGGATTAATTCGCACTTGAAAAAAACTGAAATTTACACTTCAAGTAGACTTATAAATTAGTATTATATTATAAATAGTATTAAGCTCGGCGCTAGCCTAGAGTACCGCCTACTGTTTCAATTTTTTTTTTTTTTTTTTTAATACAAGTTATAGATGTATATTTTTTAAACCAAATGTGAATAGGTACTATCTCTCTAAAACACTTACTGGCTAATAATTCAGTACAGAAGTGAACATTTTCTTAGTAGGCTTAGTGATTTTATGAAATATATCTCACAACATTGACCTTTATTTCTTTTTAGGTGTATGGAACGTAAAGTTAGTGTACAAGAATTTCCAACTGTCCGAAACGAAATTCCTCATAACTCCTTTAGAATATTTCAACGGATCTCCCATACGACCACACCAAGTGACCTATCTTCACGGCGGTCCCAAAGACAAGAAAGAATTTAAAAACTCCTTCGGCAAATTCCTGCCCCCTGCTCTACAAAAACAGGAAATGGAGCGTGCCAGTTTAGCTAATTCTCTTAAAACCGATGTAGATCTGACCAAGTGGGTCGACGAACTTTTCCTCGAATTTTATTCTATTAAAAAATCGTGTGAAAGTGTGAAATTGTCGCGTTCGGGGCAAACGTGTGGTGTGGAGTTGGGTAAATGTGAAGAGAGCAGTTGGAGCTCCTTAGCTCCGGATCCCAAGAGTGCCATAGGACAAGTTAATTCGACCACCGGGACTTTTGATATTTGGTAAATGTTTTGTCAGTGTGCATAAGTGTCTCAACAGAAATATTGTGATCTTAGTAGTTTTCACAAATAATTATGCATTTTAAGACCAAAGACGAATGGGTTACTGACCTTGTGCAAATACTTCCACAAATATTTTTGATTCCCATCAAATTAATAGTTTCTGTGTAGAAATTGTACAGTGTAAAAATTTTCTGTGAATTTTTAATATATTCTAGTGTCTTCTGTGAAGAAAATTACCTTCTAGTAAATGTACAAACGTTAATCTACATGATTTATAATATCTCGTAAATAACGGCTCAATGTAACGTTTCATGCTAACCAATGCAATTTCTTTTGGGCTTTTCGTGATATTGTAACCTGAAATTTTGACACTCTTGAATAATTTGGCCCTTTCCAGTTTGTTATTTAGTGGTAATTTTTAGTGGAAGTATTTTATGCAACTTGTCCAGCTGTTTAGATATTTTATGCACACTAATTCAATGTTTTTGCCTTATGAATGTGATACTTTTTGGTGCTCAATTAATTTTAAGTCTATTTGACTGAATACAGAAAACGGTTAAGAATTTCGTTCACTAATTCTTCCAGAGTTACATTAACGAATGGTACTATTAGTATTTGATACTAAATACAGTTTATTTTCATATTACATTAATAATTCAAATTAGTTTTTAACTTGTTGAGAAGCGATTCAACGTTTTGCTAATTTTTAAATAAGGTTTAAATCTTGATCCGGCTCGAAGGACCAACTTTCAGGTAACATTGCACTTTCATATTTTGTAAAAATACAAAATATGACGGTGGATTAATCGCCAGTGTTTTCATAAAGTTTCATTTTGTCTTGTAAAACCTAACTGTGCTCAGAAAAATACAAGAATCCTCTATTATCAGGAATATTTTTATTAAAAAGAATTAGTGAGTGAAATTTATGTAAATTTTATAAGACAGATTGTTAATTGTAGTAAAATAATCAAATTTTGACCAATAAAAGCATGCATATCAAATGTTTTATCTCTTACACCTAAAAATATTGACATTAGAGCGGAAAAGGCGAAATACGGAGAACTTTATTTAAATATCAGACCGCCTTGGTTATTTCACATACGAAATGTAAATAAATAAACATTAAAATGAAAAATACTGTTATTACAGGAATAAATTATCATTTAATAGAATAAAAATTTATAAAACAAGAACTATTAAACTTATACGGATATGTAGCAGCTTAGAAGTCGACACAAGAAGATAAACCAGAGTAGGCAAACAATTCCTTCAAATTAGTTAGCATTTATTTATACGTCCATGGTCAACATCAAGTCTGAATTAGATATTATGTCTATATCTTCTTTTTAAAGAAAATTATTAGGTGATCTAAAAACTGAGTAAACCGTGTAGAAATCCCTTTGCGATCGCTATCCATACAACTCAAAATCGTTATTTTATTAAGCATATAGTAAACAAAAAATTTCTTTTATATAAAACTTTCACACATATCTTAAGCCAGTCCTGTCCATTAAACATGGCTGTCACAGAACATAAATCAACATGTGCGTCTAGCACAGAACACGATTGAAAATGTGTAAAGGACTGTTCATCAGCCTTGTTTTTCGTACAGAAAAATTTGACAATTACATGTATTAAACAAATATTTTTTATTTAATAACGAAATAAAGGCTTTAGAAAATTTATAAAATAATATATGTATTGTATTTAAAATTATAAAGAGCGTGCCACTTTTACATATTCCATAACAACACCGCTACGTGTAGCTTCGTTGTTCCTTCGTACAGGTTTCATAATAATAATCGATTAAAAAAATTGCTTTGCTAATTGTGGCATTTTATTTTTTCAATAATTACACTTTCTTTAGTATTTTTATTATATTAATATTCATCCATATTTTAAATGACTAACCTAACCTGTTTGTTTACAAAATGTCTGTTCGAAAAAAATGACTAACTCTATTTTTTATGAAAAGTCCTATTGTTTTGTTTTGACAGAAGACGTCAAATAAAAGTTATTGTGGTTATGATCATAGATAAAGAATATATATTACCGTAGTTATGATGGTTTGAAATAAATATAACCTCAAATTACAAAAAATAAAATGGAAAATATGAAAGAATTTAAATTAATAAAACAAGGAGCTGAAGCCAGAATATATAAGGGAACATATCTGGGTAAAGTAACAATTGCAAAAGAAAGGTTTACTAAAACTTATCGTAATCCCACTTTGGACACAGACCTAACTAAAAAAAGAATAGTTGCGGAATCGAGAGCTTTGGTTCGATGTAAAGCAGCAGGTTTGCGGACTCCGACACTTTATTTGGTAGATTTTAAGCGCAAGACTATATTTATGGAATTTATCGAACACAGCCAAACTGTGAAAGACTTCATAGAAGAACATTCTGATAGAATAGAAGAACTATCTGAATTTTTCTTTCGAATAGGTAAACTGCTTGGCACTTTACACTCAAATAACATAATTCATGGAGATCTTACTTCCTCCAATATTCTAGTAGTCAACAAGTACGCAAAAGATGATTTTAAAAACTTCAATGACTTAGATTTAATGCCCATAGACTTTGGTTTGTCATTCATAGATTCCAAAACCGAAGAAAAGGGTGTTGATTTATATGTATTAGAAAGGGCTCTTCTAAGCACTCACAGTGTAGCAGAGCAATTATTTCCAAAGATTTTGGAAGGATATAAAGAAGAGTTTAAGAATGGAAGCCAAAAAATCCTTTTGAAGTTTGAAGAAGTGAGAGCAAGAGGTAGAAAAAGAACAATGGTGGGGTAATAGAAATATTAAAGCTTTGTATTATGATAAATATATGTTTTTTACAATTCATATTGTTTGTATATTTCCTTTCATTGGTGCTAGTTGTAGTAGTTAATGTGAGTAGGCTTAATCAATCTTCATTATTCTCTAGAAAAAGTGATAGGATGAGCAAGAGAAAATTGATGTGGATATTTTCACCTAGGAAACGATAGATAAGATTTTTTAAGACTCCACAATTACAAGAATAGGTATTTTCTAGTCATCATTACACTCTACCAATGAGTTTTTTTATTGATGTAATCAAATAATAACAAAGTAAAGTATCAAAACATTTATTCCATATTCCCTACAATAGGTTTAGGCCTAGTTTTAAATATAATCTTATTTCTGATGATTGTCTTCACAACGAAGCAAGTTTTTCCATCCTTTTCCTGTTTTTCCATTAAGGCAAAAGGTTTTTCTATCTTGGCTTCTTTCCCATACAACAAATGATGTCCAATAATCAACAAAGGAACTCCAGACTTTGTAAAATGTAAGTCTCCTATTAATTGGCCCTCAAAGCTTGAATCCGAGTGAGATTTTAAATCACCCTGGAGTTCTATGATAGCCCATTCGTTAGTTTGGTCTGATTTTGAACTGAAAAAGGGAATGTAATTTGATTATATTGCAAAAACAACACAATAGAAGATTTTATATTGGTTTGAACAGATAAAACTGTGCAAGTGACTTAGTTTCTATAATTCTTGACATATCTAGGGATACAGTTAAAACTGAATGTGCACACAAACATTTTTGAGACTTCATATTGTGAATCTTCTAGCTGGATGTGGATCAGCAGTCTATAGATATGTTGAATGTTGTAATTTTTGTCTGTGCTGACTTAATTGTGTTCGGTTGTGCTTGTTTGACAGGTTTATTTTTAAATGTTAAGCCGTTTTATAAGAAAAGAAGGTAATATTTAGTGTTTTTTAGTATCTTTTAGTCAATAGACATTTGCAAATATTATGCCTATTTTGTGCTAAATTATTAACCTGAGAAGCTTTTCACTCCACTTGTTACTCTGTTTTTAATTCTGTTTTCATTATTAATCTTATTTTCAGACCTTGCAAGTGTGGTGAGGATTGTGAAACTGGAAATGCAACTGCAAGATTCTAAAAAGCTTTTGATATACTTACAGTTCAGTGAAATGGGTTAAAAGGTTGACTTCAATAAAAAAACTGGTTATAAAACAACACTTTTATTAAACACTTCTTATACAAATACCTAATATCTAAATCTCTTGAACAAAGGATGCTTATTGAGCATACCGCCACCTTTTTTATACTCATAGTACACAGCATCATCTGCTCCAGACATTGAACCCATATTTCCTGCCTTTCTTACAGTACCACCCTTAGAACCACCTTCGCCTGGAATGCGCTCATCTTCACAGTCAATATCACTTGCTGCTAATACCTAAAAAGTAAGAAAATGTACCCAAGTAGTTTAGAATGTGGAAGGGATTAAGATGTCATCTATGTAGATAATATGCTACATAACAGTCTGTTTTCCCACTGGTCTCCAATGCAAGTGAGATTTAACATTCTGGATCATGTACTTGAGAAAAAATAATGTACACAGAAATAAATGTAAGTGCTAGAAATACATGTTAAGCTTATCGTATCCTAAAGTGTCTACAAACAAGTGGGAAAATTATTTCAGATCATAAAAAAATACTCCAGCATACTACTACTTACCTGTTGCAGCAGCTGCCCTTGCTCATCTCTAGTTTTATACAACATGTCTGGCTCATCTTCTATACCGGCTAACTTGGTGATAACCTTGTAACTGTATCCCTGATTCACCAAAAACCTTTGCCTCTTTCTGGAGTAGTTCATTTCCATAGTATCTTGCGATACTAACGTATAGAAAAAGGCGTTGTACTCTTCTGCAACGGCTCCCTTTTTAGCTCTCAATATTCTACCCAACCTTTGAGCTTCTTGCCTTCGGGAACCACCGTGGGAGGAGATTTGGATGAGGACGTTAGCTTCGGGTAAATCAAAGGAAGTATCTGCTACTTTACTTACGAAAATCGTGTTCACCTAGGAAAATATGGTTATGTAACTATTTTCTTCTGATGTTTCTACATTATTTGCTATATTTTCATTTCAATGAAATATAACAGATAACTTAAAGAAATATAATAAAATAAGAATCATTTGAATGTGTAAGATAGTTCCAGCTAAGTTAATTTAATCATATTTGGTACAGCTATTAAATGACGAGACTGAAGCCTTTACAAGAAATGTGCACATGAACCAAATGTCAGCGATCAATATTATTTAGCTTAAGGCCTTCAATTCAGCATACAGTACAGCTCTTTTACTGTTTCACTAAAAAAAAATGGTGACAATTGTACAACAAATTGCTGTAAAATTTTATATGGAACTTGGAAAAACAATTAAAACTTATAATTTGTTCCAAGAAGTGTATGACATATTGCATCTCCATGTCAAAAATGGGTGATAGCACTGAATCTTAGCCAAGTACAACATTCCAGTGTTGGATCATCCATTTTATTTGCAGGATCTAGTGCTGTGTGACTTTCATGTTTTCTAAGAAATAATTATATTAAACACAATAATATTTGAGTTAGTTGAAGATGTCACCAGTCCTGAAGGAGCTGACATAAGATTTCAGTCTAGTAGGCATGGAGAAGGGGGTTTAAATTGAATATCAAACATTAAAAACGAAATTTAACAACATTAGTCTAGTTATTTGGTCATACACTGCTGATACATGAGCCTGAGTTTCTTTGTGATAAAAATTGAATCAAGAATTGACTATACTTTACCTTGGGATTAAACTTGAAGTTCTGCAAAATCTGGATCCGTTCTCCTTGTGACGTAGGCCCATAAATATATGGTTTGTTCATTTTTATTGCATAATGCTTCAAGGCGAACACATTGTCAGAAAATACGATGGTTTTGTCGCCTCTTCTTTCATGATATCTGATCAAATACTGAGTGGCTCTGAATTTATTTGGATTCATAACATACAACAGCAGTCGTTTGCTTGTTTTGCACACGAGATATTCCCTATAGAATTCTGGTGTCATGGGACACCACACTTCTGCACATTGGACTCTTGCAATATACCCTACAAAATTAAAAATAAATACTTTTTAAGAAAAATCTATTAAATAAAAAAACAAATGTTTTGGTAAGATTGTTCTTCTGGAGATTAGGGAAGGTCCAGTAAAATTAGTAATTGATTCAGATTTGGCATTAAATGTTAAGCAAAGAAAAATTTTAAACCAAAATTTTCTACTTCTAAAATATTTAAAAAACATATTTATACACTGAAACTCATAAACTATGATAACTAGAATAATTTTTATATGTCAATCTTGTTCAGTCTGTTAAATTATTGAAACAAATATTGGTGCAAAAAGATTTAATACAGTTCAGGATAGCAAAAATACTTTCAAATACACGAGATTTTTAAACAAGAACTAACTATCTTAATACCACACACACATCTTAAATTATATTGATAATAACTCTTGTCTTGAAAAAACTTGTTCAACTTTCATTATTTTACTAATTTACATCTTACCTCTCTTTTGCAACTCCAACCAATTTGCCTCATACAATTTTGGTCCAATCAAGAAATTCAGATCAGCAATCTTATCATCTTCTCTCAGCAAAGTGGCTGTCAGCCCCAATTTGCAGTGACTTTGCACTATCGTCAACACTCTCCTGAACATTTTGGCGGGTATTGTGTGGACTTCATCCAAAAGCATTATTCCCCACTCCTGTTCCTGCAGCCACTTCATTGTTTGTTCAGCTTCCCATGATCTACGCTGGGTGTGGGTAATCATAGAATATGTTGTCACTAGAACACTGCAGCCCTGGGAGAAATATAAGAAGAATATTGTGAAATAAGTAAATTTATACCATAAAAACAAAAAAATCAGCTTGGGATATGAAAAAAGATTATTTTAGAATAAGTAAAAAGCCCATAAGCTTCAAGAATAAATATGTGCTTACCATTGGTTTGTCTTTGGCTTCAGAAGTAAATCTGCATATCATACTATCATCAGCTGTGGACCACATCTTAAATTGTTGCTTCCATTGTTCTACAGATACCCCAGAATTACACAACACCAAGGCTCTTTTTCTGACTGTACAACAAGCAGTTACTCCTACCAAGGATTTTCCTGCTCCACAAGGTAAAACGATTACGCCAGATCTTGCTCTTCCATTTCCAAACATTTTTCTTAGAGATTTTTCCTGATAAGGTCTTAAGACAGCTGAAGGACGTAGATCGACATTTATGTCAGGGTTTATGGTGTCATTCCTAACAGTACAACATAAAAGAAAAATATTTATATTTGTTTAGTAAAATTTGTATCAGAATAAGAAAACTTTTCACTATTTCAGATTTTAGAAGATTTTTTATGGAAGTTAAGTTTGCTGAAAAAATTGTAAAAAACTCACCTGAAATCATACTCTGCCAGCAGTGGATATTCTAGTTCTATACACCTCTTTTGAATAACTTCAATTTTTTCTTGATTTACCTCAAAAGACACAGTCTCTAACGAAGCATCTTCCTCATCTTCCCCCTCATCTATTTTCTCATAAAAACTAGTTATATCATCAGGCACAACAGCTCCATCTGTGTTACCACTAGGTTCTCCTGAGGTGCCTGGTTTGGCCCCAAAGGTAGGAACTTTTTTCTTGTCTTGAGTCTAAAACGAATAGGTATGCTTTAATTTAAGAATTTTTTAACAATCTAGAAAACATCAACTTTATAGAACAAATACAAAACTTGCATTGTAGTTTAAAAATTTACTATAAAAAGATGTGTTTGTTGACAAAAATTGCAAATAAGAGAAATAAAATGGCAAAAAAGTAAGAGAAAGGAGAATGCCTATTGAAAAATTTGGGGAAAAAATAAAAAACTGATTCAAATATATACCAAAATAAACAAATACAAAAAATTCTTAGACCAAATCATACCCAAAACAATATAAATAAAATGCATATCATAAATGCACTTACCTGTTTGATAAATTCTTCATTTTCATTTTCCACATTCCTTCTCAACCTACATTCTTGAATAACTGGATCTTTCAATAACTTTTGTAATATTTCAGGAAAAGGACTCTCAACAAAGTACTTGTTATGTTTTAAAACCAACTTCACTTTACCATAAGATAACGTACACAACTTAATAAACTCTATAATACCCTCAGGCACACTAGTTTTACTCAGTCTTTTCAGATATTCAATAATATCATTGGTTTGTAGACCCACACTTACAGCAGCATATAAAGAATATGCTGTTAGTTTATATTCGTGTATACATTCTGGACGACAGACGGGCTCAGAAATGGCGATCAAAAAATCGTGTGCGTGTTTGTACACTGGAGAGAAAGATTCTAAAAAAATGTGACCATTCGGTGCTATCCACAAAGGCCTGGACATGTTATCAGGCTTTAATATCATCTCGGAGCGATAATCTTTGGCTCCGAATTCATCTTCCTGTACCGACTGGTCATTTTTTTCGGCATCTCGAGCTGCTGCGCCCGGCACATCGGCTTCAACTACGTCTGTATCATTGGTGTCATCTTCTTCATAGTTCCATTCTTCGTTGTCTTCCTTTTTATTACGTTTTTTCTGGGATTTACTATCGGATTTATAAGGATTTGAGCGCTTAGGTGGGCCCATTGTAACCGTTTAAAACAAACTGGGGTTAAAGTCAATACTGCACACACCAAATTAGAAAATTATATGTTTATAAAGGGCTGTATCTGTTTAAAAATTACTTACGCTTTAATCAAAACAGGCATTATAGTGCATATAAATTTAATCTAATTAAAAACACTTACAACTTTCATAATAACCCAAACATGTCATATCATGAATGAGAAAAAAGTTAATGGTTATTTATGGTTATTTATTTGGTATAATTACCGGTGTTAAGTTAGCGATATATATTTTACTTCAAGACATAGGCGGAGGTGAGTATTATCCTTTTGAGTATTACAATGATTATTTTTATTTATTTTTAAATTTCAAAAGTATAATGTCTTTATTTATTTCATTATATTTGATGCATATTTAAGAAGTATTGTTGTACATTTTGTATAAAATATGTCTGTTGGATTTATTTTTTCACCAAAGTGGTCTTTCACTAATATAGTCACTCAGTCAAATGACAATAAATAAATCATGACCTTTTATCACAGTATATACCAGAAATAGTAGTGTAAGTGGTATACGACAAGTGGCGCGAGAGTGAATTGCATGGGCCCAGCCGTTCGTAATTTCACGGCGCCACTAGTCATGTTAGGTGAAAGTATGACGTATGACATAACAAAAAGCGTATGACGTTGATGTAAGTGCTGTTGCCATGGCTTCACTAGTTTTGCATAGCTAAATAATGATTATATTATACAATGTTTTCCAAAAAACAAAGATTATAATTCATTCTACGAAAATCACAACTTTAATTTACTATAATTACTATAACTTATTTCTAAAGAATTTTAAGTATCCACCAAAGAAAAATGTGTTAAATGGCAACAATGTAATCGATGCCTGTTCATTATCCACAAAACGAAATTTGTTTCGGTTTCGGCCCATCCGCATTTGGCGCTAAAAACTCTCTTCCACATCTTTCTATGGGACTTGCTAGAGGGTTATGTCACAGAATACTAAAGAAAATTGTTTATTATTCTATGGTTATGTACTCTACCTATTATAACCTATAAAGGGTAATAGAAATAGAATGATTTTTTCGTTGTTTTTGGTTAATTATGTCAACAAAATTAAAGTTATATCTAGGTAGAAAGGTGCCGCTTTTTTAAATATCATATTGTCTTAAAAAGCTTATTTATGTTTCTTGTAGGTAATAGATTGTCTGCATAATTCAAGAAAGTTATCGGCTTTGGAACTACAGCCTTTAATAAGATTAGGAAACACTGCTGAAGATAAAATAGAACTTAGTTTACCTCTTAATATCTTGGAAAAACAACTAGGTGTTACCAATGTTACAGAAATTTTGAAAATACAGCCAGACGACATTATAAAAAATGTACAAGTTGTACGAGATCGGGCAAACAGAAGGATTGCTTTTGAGATCGACAAATACATTTTTGTTAAAGATGTAATGGAAAATAGTGCTTCCCCAGACCTTAACGACAAACCTAGAAATGTCGTCATAGACTACAGCTCACCAAATATCGCAAAGCCTTTTCATTTCGGCCATTTGAGGTCTACTATCATCGGTAATTTTCTTAGTAATTTAAATCATTTCTTGAGTAATAAAGTGACAAGGTTAAATTATATAGGAAACTGGGGTACTCAGTATGGTTTTATCAAATTAGGGGTAGAAGATTTGAAGTATACTATTAAAGATATTGAAAAAAATCCACTGAAGTTGTTATATCAAAGTTATGTTCATGCTAACACTATGGCCGAAAAGGATCCCAATTTTTTACAAAGGGCTAAAGACATATTTGCACAATTGGAGAGTGGGTCTGAGAAAGAATTGAAGTTTTGGAAAAGTGTAATGGAATTTTCGAAAAATGATTTAATAGAAACATACAAGAGACTGGGCATTAAGTTTGATGTTTATAATTACGAATCTGATTATAATGCTACTGAACTTGAGGATATATTGGAGATTCTGAGGAAGAAAAATATTATTCATAAAGATAAAGATGGGAAGGAATCGACAGTTATAGGTAAGATTCAGGTTGAGTCAATTCTTAGATTTAGTGTCATTACATTTGTGATTAAATATGTAGTATTTGATAATTAGGAGATATTTAGTTTTGTTTTAAATAGTTTTTTATCACAGTAATACCTCTGAGTTTCTTAGTATGTAATAAAACTAATGTTATTGATTACAATCCCAACAAGTCTATATAATAGATCAATCTATGTTAATACTGGCTTTTTTCTGTATTTTATCAGGTAAGTAGCTGCTTAGTTGTGATGTTGCAAGGGAGGTAGTCATTTTAACATTGTAAATTTATTTTAGATGATAGGAGGGTCACAGTAGTAAAGAGTGATGGTTCAGGTTTATATTTAACAAGAGACATAGCAGCTGCCATAGACAGATTCAAAAAATTCAACTTTGACAAAATGTATTACGTGGTAGATAATAGCCAGACTGATCACTTCCATAACTTAACAAAGATTTTGTACAGAATGGATTTGCCTTGGGCTAATCGACTGACTCATGTTAAGTTTGGTAGAGTACAGGGAATGAGTTCCAGAAAAGGAAATGCCATATTTTTGAATGATATTTTAGATGAATGTAGAGATAAAATGATTCAGAAGCAAATAGAGTCACCAAGTAAGTAAATATTTGTACTTAATATTTCATAAGCAATTCACAAACTTGCTCAAAAACAAGATACAGTTGAAATAGGAAGAGGTTCTATTGACTGTTTTAAAGTTGATTGTTTTTAGCAACTAAAGCAAAAATTCAGGATGGTGTGGCTGCTGATATTTTGGGCATATCTTGTATTATTGTTAATGATTTGAAGAGGCGACGACAGAAAGATTATGAATTTGCTTGGGATCAAGCTTTACAGGTAAGAGACTCAAAAGTATATCACACAATTTGTATTGTAACGAGCTTTCTGAATAATAGAATTCACAGCTAAGGCGTTTTAGTTGTAATAGTTTTTGTGTAAGTATTTTAGACAATATGTAAGTTTGTTTTAATGTTACTTTGGTGTCAGAAGTGGGATTATTCATTTAAATAATTTATAAACTTTGACAGAAATTTTAATACTAAAAACCTTGGACTTTGAAGTATATTTGGGATTATAAATCATTTACGAATAATCTTTATATTTATGTCGCAAGTGATCTTAAAAGCAGTTTGAATAATATTGGTTCCAGAAAGGTCCTTCAAGAATTATTGAAGCAAATTTTTATCCCTAATGAAAAAGACCTCAAAACAGTCAATTCCACTCAGAAAACAAGGCAATCATAAAGCAAGCCAATGAAACTTCTAGAAAAACCACAGAAGAAGTTTCTAGATGACGAGTTTGAAGCAGATGTTGCTTTATAGTGCAATTGGCTTATACAGTAGAGTCTGACATAGCTTCAGAGAAAGCTTTACATTAGCAAAACCAGAATTATATAAAGCACTTCTTCTTCCTCTTCCTATAAGCAATTCTGCTTGTTTTTTGGAGGATTAATACCTGCTTATGCCACGGAGGATGTGTAGAGATATAAAAGGATGAAGTTACAGCAAGATCGAAACCGTCGAGAAGAGAATTTAGTATACAAGAGAGAGGTTGGGTAGCTCTAGTGGTCTGAGAATGATGAATGAGATTAATTGGTTGAATAAGTAGTTGGTAGACTGGATTTTGTGGATTGGTTGATAAGCTAGCTGCATATGACAAAAGAAGATGTCTCCTTAACCAGAGTGGCGGTTCGTTAGCTTCACAGTACCTGCTTTGAGCTGGCCTAGATCTGAAGGCACCTAAGCAGATCTTAAGACCCTTATTGTGTACAGAGTCAAGAGCTTTCAGATGTGACTTGGAGGTAGACATATAGACAAAACTACCATAGTCTATTTTGGAGTGAATAATGGATCCCTAAATTGTAAGCAATACCTCTTTGTCAGCTCCCCATTGGAAATGTGCTACACTGTTTTGGATATTAATATTTTTTAAGCAGTTGCCTTTCGTTTCCTGTATGTATGTATTCCAAGTAAGTTTGGAGTCAAAGGTCAGTCCTAAGACTTTATGATGATCAATAATATCTAGTAATACCCCGTTGTATGTCAAAGTTAGATTATCTTTTGTCGTTGTTCTGCTAAATTTCATGATTTTAGTTTTTTGAGATGAGAAGAAAAGCCCACTATGCCTCTACCACCTTTCTAAATTATCAGTGGCTGTTTGCATTAGTCGACAGGCTGTTTTGATATTCTTTCCTCTGCAAAAGAGTACAAGGTCATCAACATCTAAGGCATATTTAACTGGGAGATGAATACTTTTGTGTACATCACTAAGTGCCAAACTGAAAAAGTTGTGCTTATAACAACCTTGTTGTACTCCAATATGTTGAATATGAGTAGAGCTTTCTGTTTAAAATAACTCTAACATTTCGGTCTATATTTTTAATAGCAATTGTAAAAATAAATAAATAGTAAACATGAAATGTACCATTTTATTATTTGATTTACGTTACAGTATTAATATCATTTTCTTATCTCAATTCCTTGACTATTTTTAGGCACAAGGAGACACCGGTATAAAGCTCCAATACGTACACTGCCGATTATACAATTTAGAAATAAATTCCGGAATGATGCCAGCTAAAGAATGCGTTCCTGAAATGCTGTTTGAACGTGAAACCATAGCTTTACTAAAAGATTTGGCGAGGTTTCACGAGGTTCTTTATCAAGCCAATGACCAATTAGAGGCGTATGTTTTGGTGAATTACCTGTTTCATTTGTGGTAAGTTTGTGAGTCCTCTATGTTGGACTGTGTCGAACGCTTTATCTACTTTATTTTTATGCCTTTAATCATTACAGTTTTACGCTACAAACTGTTAAGATAGCACAAATTAGCATAATAAGTCCATGTGTATTTATTCTCGATTTTCTATTTTTAGTAACCACATCAACAAAGCATTTAAAACTTTAAAAGTGAAAGGAATGGATCCGGATGTAGCATCCCAAAGATTATTATTGTTTAAAACTGCCAGAGAATTGTTGGGTAATGGTATGACCATTTTAGGATTGCAACCCTTGAAGCAGATGTGATATACTGATAAAATTCAAATAAATGTTAAACAATTGTGTATTATTTTATTTACTTTACGAAAACCAGCCTCAGAAAATAATTGAATTTGTTCAGATTATTAACCACCTTTTGTTCAATTCAATATAATATTTTGGCCATGTATTGAGACATCCAGGGAGGTATAACCTTCTACACCTCATAATACAAGGCAAGATCGCCAGAAGTGGCCCAGGTCGAAAACGAACATCCTGGCTCCGAGAGTGGTATTAAGAGACATCCTCAAAGTCGTCACACATTTGACCTCTAAAAATAATTCGAACAAGCTGAATTTTTTAAAAATATCAATTTTGGCACCCTAAAAAAGATGCAAAGAAGTTTATCCCCTAGCTTCTCCCTAAAACGCTTTCTCGTAAGCAGAGGGGAACGAAAAAAAAAATGATTTACCAAAAATCTGTCCGTTGTAGAAAAAAATATTTCAAATTAAAAATGTATAGGCCCTAAATTTGCATTTTAACACTTTATTATTAAATTGTAAAACCCAAAACTGATCCAAGGTTCTACATAAGGAGCCAAGCTGACCTCTAAAGATCCAAACGATCGGGAGCTTTAATAAGTCGTTTTGACTGCACTGGCAAAACATTAGCAATTTCACAAATATAATGCCTATCTCCTAAAACCCCATTTGTAACTACCCATTTCCACTTATCAGGATACCTATAATCTACTAACACTCTATCCCCCTTTTCAAATTTTTCTTTCCTTCTCATTTTTACATGTAATAATTTCTGAGCTTTATTTTCCAATAATAAATCAAAACGGTTTCTAATCTTACCTTTAAAAATAACATCTGAATGAGTAACGCCGTGGAAACATGTATGAGTTTCTATAGTGAAATAAATATCTTTGTAATGTAACCTCCAATGACATGTTATCACCAGTGTCCTTAATAATCTTTGTAACACCACTCTTTAATGTCTCAACTGCATTTTCAGCAAAACCATTTGTTTGGGGGGGGGGGGTGAAAAGCTGGAGAAGTTATGTGTAATTAAATTGTTAGACAAATATTGTGAAAAAATTCTTCCCTAAATTTACTTATTGTTTATTTTATTTATTTATTTATTAAAACTTACAAACACTACCTATTTAGTAATTACATGTAAGAGTGCTCATTACTTGGTATAACAATATACACACAAAAAATACAATATACACACAAGTACAAAATAAAAACACAGAAAGTAAAGCACATTAAAAAAAAGACAAGTTAATAAAATTTTAAAAATTGAGTCCATTCTTATAGTTAGATATATTCTTATAGAGTGTAACTCATTACACTGATATTGCATATAGTAGTTTATTATTGCACAAGAATTATATGGACTACAAGAAAATAGGTCATTACTGTTTACCTTTAGGTTGACCTTTGGCACATGAAACCTAATAAAGTTGATCAAACTATATGTCCTAGATTTAACATTGTTAATGATATGAATAAACACAACACAATGCATGTTTCTTCTTTGCTCTGATGACTGCAAACCAAATATTTGAAGCAACTCTTTTGATGGCGTAAGTTGAGTATAAAAATTGTATTTCTTAAGGTATAAATACCTTAGAAATCTTTTTTGTACCTTTTCTATATGATTAATATGAACTTTGGCTTCAGGAGTCCATACCACTGATGCATATTCCAAGTTTGGTCTGACTAAAGCGTTATATAGTCTAATGGTTGTGTTTATACTAAAGTGTTTGGAATTTCTTATTACAAATCCCAATATTTTGTAGGCCTTATTAACAATATTTATATAGTGTTCATTAAATTTCATGTTAGCCTGTAGGTATATTCCCAGATCTTTACATTTGGTTTTCCTAGATACTACACAATTGTCAATTCTATAATTATTTTGAATGTAGTCGATTTTGCGAGTAAAAGATATGACTCCACACTTCTTAATATTCAAGATCATATTGTTGTCCCTAAACCATTCCACAACTGAGGTCAGGTCCTCCTGTAGTAACTGACAATCATTTGAAGTATGTATAGTCTTAAAAGCTTAAAATCATCAGCATAGATCAAACTAGAAGAAAATTTAAGAGATTGTGGTAGTGAGTTGACAAAAATTAAGAAAAACAAAGGCCCTAAGTTGCTCCCTTGGGGGACACCAGATGTAGCCTGAAATGTATCTGATAAACACCTACCAATTTTGACTCGTTGAAACCTTGATTCCACATACGATTTTATAAATGTACAAGCATCATGCGAAAAACCAAACTCATTCAATCTCGATAAAAGAATGCCATGGTCAACCATATCAAATGCCTTTGAGCAGTCAGTCATTATTAAATCTAATTGGAGTTTATTATTTATTGCCTCACTAGCAAAATTAGACAGAATGCACAGATTACTAGTTGTGGATAACCCAGGCAAAAAACCATGTTGTTCTGGAGCAAATTCATTTTCAAAATTTTTCAGTATATTCACATAGAGAATAGATTCAAATATTTTAGCAAGGGAATTAAGGATACTTATAGGACGATAGTCTTCTATATTGTTTCTATTACCTGATTTAAAAACTGGAGTAATGGTAGCCTCTTTGAGTTTGTCTGGAAAGGTGTTAGTTTTAAGAGATTGTTGCCAAGGAGTCTGTCACATTCATTATGAATGTTTCTGGCCATTTTGAATAAGAATCTATAATGATTAATATGATTTTCCCGCTAAGTAGACCCAAAAAATCAGCATGAACCCTTTCAAAGAAATTATTCCCCTTGTCACATGGTGTAACTGTTGCCTAAATAGGTTTCTGCTCTTGAAGTACAACAAACTCTGCAATTATTAATAATTTTCTCAATGTCCCTGTCACCAATTGGTGCTGAAAATTAGTTTTATTCTTCTTCAAACAAGATGAGATTCTGGATATTTTCTTAGGAAGTTATTGTTTGTTTGTATGATCTTCAGTCGATGTAAAACTATTTTCAAACTACATATTTTTATACGTGTTCTGTGGCTATGATTTAGGCCACCTTAGGCATAAAGTAGTAATTTTATTTGAAGCAGTGCCCTCTATGGACTAAGCCGAAAGATTTCGAAAAATACCACGAATCTGCAAAAATTTCAAATTGGAATTTAACATAGTACATAAAAATACACTGTGCTATGTACTCTGGGATTTAATTGAGTAAACAATGTGCCAACGCATCGAAGTTATTGAGTTTATCAAGTGGTGATTCAATTCTACTGTATGAATCATCTGATAAATACTTTAATAGACCATCAGTCATCGAGCACATATACAAATATCTGTGCAATGATTGCACCAGATCCTTTTTTCTTCTGTTACCAATTTCTCTCATAGTGTTTTGCTGCCTCTTGTGTAGCACATATTTTAGAGATCTTTTTGTCAATCTATATAGTACTTGAGAGAAATATAATATATAATCACCATTTCTTTGTGAATGGATTTAAAATCAAAGCATTGATTTCATATGTTATCAGGTCCTAACTGATATGAACTTGCCTAATTACCAATTCCGTTGCACTAAAGACCATAGTCTATCTGCATCCAAGCAGATCTTCCCCAATGTAAGACATTTTTTTCAATTCTTAACGCGATATTCTCTGTTAGATAATAAATGATACTGGGCCGACTGAATATCAGTAGAACTGTAAGATCGAAAATAATTGGGGAAACGTAATTCCAATTCAGGGAGAAGAACTCTGCGTCAGAAAACTTGTAGTCTTTCAATTTTAGTGTTCGGCTAACTACCCTTTGTAAAAGCACTCATAGTAAAGGCATAACAATGTATCTGGCGTGGATTTATAGGTATAAGATTGCTTAGAAAAACTAAATAAAATAAACTACAAAGACATAGTTTATGAAATTCACATAATAGGGTAACAAAACTTAGTAGGCTAGGAAAAGAAGGTTATTGAAATAATGATTAGAAATTTAATTTCTTTATCCAATGTTTCATATTATACACATAAGAAAATAGATAGCTACGACATAACAGCACAAAAGAGTCTCATTTTGTTTGCTGTTATGGCATTTGAGTTGGTCATACCCTCAAAATGTGCCAATAATTATTGTTTCACCTAAAAGACTATATACTAACATAGGAAAATATGTTTAAAACGAAAGATCTTTCTGAGAAAACTATTGTTAAAAAAGATTTAAGAGAAAGATCCATAAAATTGGTAACTGAAAAAGTACTGTGACACATTAAGAGTGACTATGACACATTTTAGTTCCTAAAACATTAAAGAAATGCATCACAGTGTTCTAAGTTTCCTGGAAGGAATAGGACCAGAATAAATAACAATCGCTAATAATTAATCAGCAAGGTAATAATAAGTCAAGATGCTTCAATAAATCACACAAATATCATAATATATGAACATACTATACACAAACCTGTACTTCCATTGTTATCATTGTTGAAAATATACTACTTTTCATTGCTTGTAATAGTTTTTAATTCTAAATTAACAGTAAATATATTTAGCATAATATAACAATAAATATTTAATTACACATCTTTGGATAGTATATATAAAGGAATGTATAAAATTTTATTCAAAATGGATATTTCTTATGTTTCTTGTATGTCTTCTGGGACAGTTTTTGGTTGCTTGTTCCACTTCCTCTAAAAAGCTTGTAGAGTTGTGGATGGTAGTGCCTCCTAGTAGCACATTAAAATTTGGATAGTTCCTGTTTATAGAATGCACTGTTAATGACTCCTCGTAAGTAGCACCTCCTACAATAAAAACAATGATGTCTTGTGGTCTTCCATTGCTCCCATGACTGCCAAGATATGGATACAATTGCTCCTTAAGTCTGCCCTTAACTAGATCTTCCAATGTTTCATGTAGTAGTGGCTTGTGTTGGGTGTAAACATTGTCTACACCACTTAAGCCTTTGATAAACCTTTTAGTAATTTTAACAGCATTTTCTACATTAAATAAGTCACTTTGTCTAGCATGTGATCCCGCATATTCTATAATATTAACAATATTCTTCAGCAACTTATCAGGCACATTTCTCTTTTT